AAGTCATAAGCCAAATTTGCATGAGACAGAAACACTTGGAATTTCGTAAACCAAGTCTCAAGAATGATGTGATGCTGATGGAAAAAGTATCTTCTTTTCTAAAATGATCCAACATATTAAAAAAAGAACAAATTCAATTGATCCACAATCTTTTTTAATAGAAATTAAATAGTACAAATATCCCCCACAATTGTTTTTATTTAAGAAAATGAAAACAAAATTGCAAAAATTAAAGAAACAAGAGAGCGCATGTGAGATGGGCCAGACCCTCTGATCCAACTGGCAGTTTCTTCGAGGGACATGCATGAATGGCCTTTTCTTTCTTTTCTTACTCACTTAGGGTTTTTTTTTGGCTTTTTAACTGCGCATATACTATTTACTTTATAGACTGATTTTGTCATCTTCATTTTTTTTTTTTCCGTATGTACGCTCTTATCTCTTTTACACTATTTCTTCTCTTAATACTGTTTCCTAGGATAGATAAATAAGCGTGTTGCAATATTTGTTAGAAATTGATTTTGAACTTCAAGTAAAGACGAAATAACTCCAATTTTCCTCCCGTATAACAGTTAAAAGAATACTTTATCAATCAAATGATGATGCTGGTTAATTTTAATGGTTGAGTTAGAGTGATATCGATGAAACATTCCTAGTTAGACTGGTGAAAGATTTGCTCTGTGAATTGAAGTTAGAGTTTCGATATCATCATTCACCAACATAACAGATCTTCATTGTAATTGGTTTTTCATTTGGCCACAGTAGATAATTTCAATAACAAAAATATCATATTATATTTTTTGTAACATTTTCGCTTACAACTTTATATCATCGCTACTAATTACTTAATTAGTCTGTACATCCGTTTACCAGTGTCTTTGACCGTTAAAAAACCTGTAACGCTAGCAATTGAATCCAATAACTAACTTTTCATATTATTGTTAAGTTTCTAATGTTTTAGTTTTTGTTCTAAGTTAATGGTGCACCTTAATTAGCAGTAAAATGAAAAAAAAAATATGTTAAATGACTTAGATATTTAAATATTGACTTACATAAATAGGCTAAAACTAGGGAAACTCGACGACGTTTTGATATTTGAGTGATCAAACAAATTAAAAATACAAACAAAGGTGTGCCAACGCACACTGGCATTTACATTGAGTGATTGTTTTTTAAAACATGTAAAAATAGGTACGCAAGATTAGGTATAATTTTTCTCTATCAAATACCGAACAATCGAAAAAAAGACCTTCCTGTGTTACGGGTGAACATTCAAGCCTCTAGATAGATCTCATCCTCGAGAGATTAGTGATCGTAGATCTCAAGAACCTTCAAGAGCCTAGCTAATGGAAGATAATGTAACTATAGATATAGTTCGAATACGTGTATATACACAGTGACGCACGTGTGATGAGAGTGTATGTGGGGGCGCCATGGTAATTGCGTGTAGCGATGGAACACCGTAAGTACTGTGAAAGCGACCAATGGGAGAAGCCCTACTGTTTTAGTATATAATGTCACGTCCCATCTCCAACTCACGTAGGTCCCCACTAAACGTTTTTTGTTGATCCAACGGCTGTAGTTTGTTCCTTGATTTCATAACCTATCATCGTACACCGCTCACTTCCGCTCTCTACCCTTTTCTTTCTAGGGACATCCCATACACTGTCCTATTCTTCTTCTTCGTAATCGTATGCATTTTATAATAATAATAGACATAAATATTGACGTTTATAAATAATTATTTTTTCTAGTTGACGTCGAAAATCTATCATGATACGTACTTTATTAATTATCCCCGTCACTCACATATATATATATATATATATATGTCGCCGACACAAAAATATTTATGATATACTACTATATAGTTATATTAATACAATATTCGGATATATATACACATGCCGGCTGTACTTGATATATAGTGGTTTCGCTTTTAAGACTTTTGTGACCAATTTAGAAATGCATACATGTGTTCTCGTCCTAAAAAAATTTGCAGATTCATTTTATTTCGTTTCAAGGTCAGTTTCCATTGCAATACTTTATCAATTAAAAGAATAACAGTTATATGCTACAGAAACATTCCAATTACAACCAACAAGACAATAATATGTTAGCGCAACGGAATACCATAAAATCTAATCTTTTAGAATTTTTGTTTTCCTTCTGCATTTATTTAGAGTATGTATGGTTTCGAAAACTATAATATTGAACCACTTTGTAGTCCGAATTTTTTTATCGACTACTAAATCCCATGTTATTCAGAAATTTCAATAATGTCACCTATAATTGAATATTTGAATTATAGAAAAGGGAGCAAAATATATCCTCAAATTTCATGACAACGGTATCTTTGTATATACATATACGTACTGATCTTTTCGTATATGATGTTGTTTCCATGGTTACCCTTGCTACGTCAAGAAATTGCACGCGTCTTCTCATGGATAGTATTGTCATTTGCTTTAGATAAAATACCAAAATGACACAAATTCACATCCGCTGTTTGGAAATCATTTTTTTTTCTTTGAAAAACAACACTTCGAAAACTCAAAAAAATTGATCTTCAGTAATTTTCTGGATTAAAAAGTTAATTTTTCGGGATAAATTTCTTAATCAAATGTAGTCTGAAACTATATGGTATATTTTTAAATCTTGCTTTTGACCAAGTAGTTTGTTTTCAAATTTGTTCTTTGACCAAAAAATTAAAAAAAAACGTTAACCACAAAACAAACACGTATATTTTTTTTTGGGTCAAGTTACACGTATATTCCTTATTACAATTTATAGCTAAAGAAATCACCGAAATGGGATTGTGCATGTATATGATGTTAAAGATTATATAGAGGTATATAAATATTGCCACTTTTGCCCTCTCCGGCATGCAATTCGAACAACTATAATACATACATCAATAAAGAAAAAAAAAAGAATCAGAAAACCCTAAAAGCTCGTCCTGTCATTTTTATCAGGTGATTTCACTGTCTACATTGACTTATTGCTATTATACATATAAATATATAAATTAATAGTTCGCACACTTCCATTTTCACACTACAGTCAAATAATGAGGCAATATAGAATATAGCAAAGCAAATGAAAGAGCACTTAATTATGACTGACTTGCGCTCGATATATATATATATATATATATATATAGAATAAAAGTTTATTCACAACAAGTGAAATTTAATTGTTCCTACTTCTTATACATTTATGGCTCTAACCGGTGATCATTCCTATGAAAAGGAATACTAAATTCCTTATCATTCCTTATAAATTACACCATTTAAAAGGAATATATTGTATCTATTATTCTTTCTCATTCCTTATGTTTTAGAAAACTATAATGTTAATATATTTCCTATAAAAAATAAAAAAAAACAATAATTTCTATTATTTTGTTCCTTTCATTTATTTTCTTATTCATTCTTATTATTACTTTTATGGTCACAGTTAAAGCTTATATCTCTACAATTTATTTTCTAAATAAGAAACCTATTTGTTGGGCCAACGCTTGATTTTATTATATTAAAATTAAGAAAACGTTCTCGATAAAACCAAACAAAATAATAAGAAAATAAGTTACAAAATTCACTAATATCGATAAAAAAATTGTGGATGCTATTTTATTATTTGAAAATCAGATAATGAACGAGTCTGAGAAAACATGAAATTTCTCACACCGATCTCTTTAAAGCAAATTCGATCCTCGCCTTCATATCCCAAAGCTTCGGATATCAGTGCACTAGCCACAACACAAATCCTTTAAACTAAGTTGGATGTCGAGAAGATCAATGAATCCACATTGGACGGATACGCTCGAAACTGTTATTATGCGAAGAAGGATTTCCGGTTGTATCCATAAAATTGGAGAAGCCTAAGCTCGTTGGTTATTTTTTTATTCGGCAATTTTGACTTTGCTCATGGTTGAAGAAGATGAAGCTGAACTTCCTACCAGGTTTTTGCCTCTGTTTTATATCTTTCTAGAGAGTTTCTTATTTCAAAAATATAGTACTATAATTTAGTACAAAGTGGTTTGTAGTACGTACGGAGTGTGAATGTTTGTTATAATGGATTTTTTTTTTTTAATTTTGTTACAGCATTCTATCTAGCTCCGCTCACTACAAAAGTAGTTGATGAATATATTTATAGGAAAAAAAAAATGCATGATCCAGTCATCCAAATTATAGGATCGGCTCGCTCTAAACGTAGGATTCTATATGACTGACTGCAATATGTTTTAAGCGAATGTGACGCGTGGTGTTGTACTTCTTGCGCTGCTACATAGCTTTTGCAAGACATATGTCGGGAGAGAAGGTCTGGTGTGACTGATACGAGCATGTGTCTATATGTCTATATATACAAACACATCAAATACATAGTCGGCTCCATGTGAGAAGTTTTGTATTTGTATAGTTACAAACTATAGTCAGAGTTCGAAAACTAGAAGAATACTTATAAATATGACGTTACATATCTATCGAAATTATATGAAAATGTGAACCTTTTGAAGGGTTAGAGCAGTAGAACCCTTTGCATATTGTTATTAGTCGTCAGAAAGGTTACACAATCTTATAAAAACGATTTTAACCAAGTATCATTCGATTCATTCCCAACAATTAACATGATTTAATCAAAGGCTACACTGGGTAAAACTAATGATTACGATGTTAGTGATCAGCCCATATAGTAATTACAAAATATGAAATACGATTATTTGTGTTAATTGTAAGCACAACGTATTTTTTTTTAAAAAAAATCAATTATTATATATACATACATGCACGATGGGATGATGCTTAAAATTAGATTAAAAACATTGTAAAATAAAAAAATGTACTACTATATAGTATATAGTTTAGTTACATCGACGACGCAACGAAGTTTCGAAACTCGGGAGGAGCATAAAATAAATAGAAAAAGAAAGAAAAAGGCACGAGTCCCCAACTGTAATAAAAACTGAAAATCAGGGGTAGATTAGTAAACACTTCGTGTCCTTTTGGAACAACAAGTTGCTTTAAAAATGTTTAGCAAAAATCAAAGACCCGCTCCGTTCGGGTTCGGGTCAAAACAGCCATTGTCGTTCCTTCTTCTTCTGATTCAAATAATAATAAGAGAGAGAGAGATTGAGAGAGAGAAGTTAGTAAACTCGAGCAGAGAATAACAATAATAGTAATATTAATAGCAGAAGCTAGCACCGCCACGTCTCCGCCGTCTTATGCTACCGGAGAAATCATTCTCAGTTATCTTTCCAAACAAATAAAAAAATAAAAACCGTCTCTTTCTTTCATTCTTTGTCTGTCTTCTTTTTTGGTTGATTATTCCTTCTGTACACATGTTCTGCAACAGTTGAGCAGTTGCATGCCCATAGCTTTCTTTCTCATTTCCCGATCTTCGCATTAATCATAGTCCTGGGATCTCAATTTCTCTCCTAAGCTTGAAGAAGATCTAGTGTTAAGGCTGGAACGACGCCACCTCCTGTCGTTTTAGTTATAGCTCGAGATCTGCGTTTCCTCCTTGGCTTCTGAGCTTTTGGCGGTGGTGGGTTTTTCTGGAAAAAACCAAACGAAAATCAAAGTTGGAGTTTTTTTTTTTTTTTAATTTAATGGGAGTTATTAGTGGGATTACTGGATAATTACAAGTAATGAAGGAGTTGAAGATTCGAAGAAGCGGCTTTGAAGTCGGCGAGACGAAGATTGCGAGCTTATTTGGCTGAAAATCCGGATTTGGTTGATGTGTTCTTTCTCTTCTTCATTTCTGTGAGGAGAAGAAGAAGAAATCTGTTTTTTTTCTTTTCTTTTTTGCTAAAGGGTTTTTGGATTTGTGAAAAGATTTGGTTGGTGAATGGGTGGGAGGTGGAGGGAAACAGTTAAAAAAGTAAAGCTTTTGGTGTCTACTCGTCATAATTACATTTGGGCATCTTGAAATCTTGGATCTTTGAAGAAACAAAGTTGGAATTTTTCTGTTTGTTAGTTTGCTTTTCAAGTTCAAAAAATAAAAATAAAAGAAAAATGAGATTGTCTTCAGCTGGATTTAATCCTCAACCTCATGAAGGTAATTTCTTTATACTCTCTATTACTTGTTACTTGCAAAAATGTAGAAACTTTGGATTTTTGTGGGGGATTTTAACTCTAACTTGTGTGTGTGTGTGTTGAAACAAAGTTACAGGAGAGAAAAGGGTTCTTAATTCTGAGCTCTGGCATGCTTGTGCTGGTCCTCTTGTCTCTTTACCTCCTGTTGGAAGCAGAGTTGTGTATTTCCCACAAGGTCACAGTGAACAGGTTTGTCTCCTTCCCTTTCCCTTATGCTTTGGACTAATAGTATCTTACAGATTACTAAAAACTTATGAGAACATTATGTGGATTTTCAGGTCGCTGCTTCGACCAACAAGGAAGTGGATGCTCATATACCGAACTACCCAAGCTTGCATCCGCAGCTTATCTGTCAGCTTCACAATGTCACAATGCATGTGAGGAACTTAGTTTTTTTCCAGAAACTTCTCCTACTTTATTTTTTTTGCTCTGTTTGTGTGTTGATTAATAACATGATTGCTTACATTTCAGGCTGATGTGGAGACTGATGAAGTCTATGCACAGATGACTTTGCAACCGTTGAATGCGGTATGAGACTTTTACCTCTAAAATCCATTACTTTATTTTATGCGGATTTGTCGGTGTTGTGAACTAAAACTCTTGTTTGAATAGCAGCAAGAGCAAAAAGATCCTTACCTTCCAGCTGAATTAGGTGTCCCGAGTAGGCAGCCTACAAACTATTTCTGTAAAACTCTTACTGCTAGTGACACGAGCACTCATGGAGGTTTCTCTGTGCCTCGTCGAGCTGCTGAGAAAGTTTTCCCTCCCTTGGTAACTTCGTCTTCTCGTTCGTCTGAAGTTTAGTTTTTTTAAACTTAGCTATTTCACCTTTTTAACCTGAAGATGTTATGTGTTATTCAGGATTACTCACAGCAGCCTCCAGCTCAAGAGTTGATGGCGAGGGATCTGCACGATAACGAGTGGAAGTTCCGGCATATTTTCCGAGGTTAGTTTTTTTTTTTTTGTTAAAATCGAAGATCTTTAGTAGTAATTGAAGAACAGAGAGGTTTATATACTCTGCATTTGTTTCTCCCTTTCAGGCCAACCCAAGAGACACCTTCTTACTACAGGTTGGAGCGTATTTGTGAGTGCTAAAAGGCTTGTCGCTGGCGACTCTGTGCTTTTCATCTGGTTAGAAACATTTCTTCAAAGTTTAGGTTTTTTTTTGTTTTCTAATGATTCTTGTGAATCTTGGTAGTTTTACTCATACCTTTTCGTTGTTAACACCAGGAACGATAAGAATCAGTTACTTCTTGGTATAAGACGAGCGAACCGGCCACAAACTGTCATGCCATCATCTGTTTTGTCGAGTGACAGTATGCATTTAGGCCTTCTTGCTGCTGCAGCTCATGCAGCCGCCACAAACAGCAGATTCACCATCTTCTATAACCCGAGGTACGGGTTTTGAGCTCCCATATGAATGCACCTATACGTGTTGCATCTTTTCATTTCTTAACAAAAGAGTCTTGCTTTTCTTCAGGGCGAGTCCGTCGGAATTTGTAATACCCCTGGCTAAGTACGTGAAAGCGGTTTATCACACTCGCGTCTCTGTTGGCATGCGGTTTAGGATGCTGTTTGAAACCGAAGAATCAAGTGTTCGTCGGTAGGTGAATGATCAGGCTTCCATGTCTATTACTCTGCTTTTCACCGCTCTGAATGTCCTAAAGAATCTTTGTTTTAATGTCAGGTACATGGGTACAATAACTGGCATTTGTGATCTCGATCCTACTCGTTGGGCTAATTCTCATTGGCGGTCTGTTAAGGTTCAGTTCAGAAACCAAACCTTTAGTAGAAAATCTTTGCTCTTCTCGTATACTTAATGTCATCATCTTGATCTCATGATGCAGGTTGGATGGGACGAGTCCACTGCAGGAGAGAGGCAACCTAGAGTTTCCTTGTGGGAGATTGAGCCTTTAACGACATTCCCGATGTATCCTTCTCCTTTTCCTCTCAGGCTTAAGCGTCCATGGCCTCCTGGTCTCCCATCTTTCCACGGTATTGTAAATCTCAAAACTTGATTCATCATCCCTCAGAAGAAGTTTCTATTTTTATATCTTCTAATCTTGTTGCCTCTCCTTAAGGTCTTAAAGAAGACGATATGAGTATGGGAATGAGCTCGCCGCTTATGTGGGATCGAGGACTTCAATCTCTGAACTTTCAAGGTATGGGAGTAAACCCGTGGATGCAGCCGAGGCTTGATGCCTCGGGCTTGCTTGGTATGCAAAACGACGTTTACCAAGCAATGGCTGCAGCTGCTCTTCAAGACATGAGAGGCATTGATCCCTCAAAAGCTGCTGCTTCACTTCTTCAGTTCCAAAACCCCTCGGGGTTCTCAATGCAGTCTCCGTCTTTAGTGCAGCCGCAGATGCTACAGCAACAACTCTCTCAGCAGCAACTATCTCAGCAGCAACAGCAGCAACTCTCTCAGCAGCAGCAGGCGTATCTCGGCGTTCCTGAAACCCACCAGCCTCAATCTCAGGCTCAATCTCAGTCAAACAATCTTCTTTCTCAGCAGCAGCAGCAACAAGCAGTGGATAATCATAATCCGTCTGCGTCAGGCACTATGTCTCAGTATGGCTCTACTTCTCAGTCCAACACGTCGCCACTCCAGTCCATGACTACTCTGTGTCATCAACAAAGCTTCTCAGACACCAACGGAGGAAACAATCCTATCTCTCCGCTCCACACTCTTCTCAGTAACTTCTCTCAAGACGAGTCTTCTCAGCTTCTCAACCTCACTAGAACAAACTCTGCAATGACTTCTTCCGGCTGGCCATCAAAGCGTCCCGCGGTCGATTCATCTTCGTTCCAGCACTCTGGAGCCGGTAACAACAACAGCACTCAATCGGTAATGGAGCAATTGGGACAGTCCCACGCAAGCAACGTTCCTCCAAACGCTGTCTCGTTGCCTCCGTTCCCCGGTGGTGGCAGAGAGTGCTCGATCGAGCAAGAAGGAAGTGCCTCAGACCCGCATAGCCATCTTCTGTTCGGTGTCAACATAGATTCATCTTCCCTTCTGATGCCAAACGGAATGTCAAACCTTAGAAGCATAGGCATCGAAGGAGGCGACTCTACGGCTTTACCCTTCACATCATCTACTTTCAACAACGATTTCTCTGGTAATCTTGCAATGACAACACCCTCTAGTTGTATAGACGAGTCGGGTTTTCTTCAATCTTCAGAAAACCTCGGTTCCGAGAACCAACAATCAAACCCCTTTGTGAAGGTAAAGTAAAGTTCTCATCTTTTACTTTCTTTCTTTGCTCACATAGTAATATGATCTAAAAGGAAACGGTTCTTGCAGGTGTACAAGTCAGGTTCTTTTGGAAGATCATTAGATATAACGAAATTCAGCAGCTACCACGAGCTGCGAAGCGAGCTTGCTCGCATGTTTGGCCTCGAAGGCCAGTTAGAAGACCCTGTGAGATCAGGCTGGCAGCTTGTATTTGTTGACCGAGAGAACGACGTTCTTCTCCTCGGCGATGACCCTTGGCCGTGAGTTAGCATTTCCCGCCTTTTCTTTAACCGCCATTTTTTCAAATGATCTCTAAGACTCTTAGCTTTACTTTTTGTTTATCGAACACAGGGAGTTTGTGAGCAGCGTGTGGTGCATCAAGATACTGTCACCACAAGAAGTGCAGCAAATGGGGAAAAGAGGCCTCGAGCTTCTCAATTCCGCTCCTTCCTCCAACAACGTCGATAAGCTCCCGACCAACGGGAACTGCGACGACTTTGGGAACCGGTCTGACCCGAGGAATCTCGGTAACGGTATCGCATCTGTAGGGGGTTCGTTTAACTACTAGGAAGTAGAAAGCAAACCCCTTTGAAGTTAAAGTTTTCATCTTATAAAATTAGTATTGATCGATCCTCTTAGTTTAATTTACTAGCAAAAATCTCTCTTTTATTACTTATTATAAAAAAAAAGGGAGCTTTGTCTTGGCCTTTGTGGAAACAAAAAAAAAACTATATAGTAGCTCTCTTTTATTTTTCTCTCCGTCGTAATACTGTAATTATAAGATCTTTTGGTCTTTTTTCTTATATGAATATTTTTTTACTGAAATTTATTTTTTGTGTGTCGTTTTCTTTACTAGCAACTTCTTCTTCAATCAATTTGATAGTGAAGTGTTGTTTTGGAGGTATGTTAAGACTTTGTCTGACTCAGTGGCCCACAGAGAAAGTGATTTGGGTCCCAATTCCTTATTGGTTTTGTGGTTTAGTTGTGTGAAACACCGAAATATTCCGACCCGCAATTTAGGGCTTTACCCCTAAAATTAGATCTCGTTTTGCGTCAGCAAAAAACCTTTTTCTCTTGACACGTATCGATCCGTAGTTCGTACTATTAGGATACTTTTATTGGTATCGTGATAATAAGTCGAATGATTAAGGAATACGAAACAAAAGTAGTAGAATGATTAAGGTTTTTTTTTTTTTTAACGTTTGCGTTCCCATATTATGATATATTGGAATAATATAACATGAAACGCAAACGTAATTTTAGAATAAACAACCTGAAGTCCTTTTGGTAATCAAATGAAAGCTGTTGTTGAATTCGGAAATATATTGCAAAATATATATTTTTAGGTTTTATTGGAATGGGATTTGGTTAGTTATGAATGAATGGGGGGCACCATTCGAATAATAGACGAATTTATGATTTGGTTTGGTGTTTGATTGTCCATTAAGAGAATAGAGTGATCAATTCGTAAAAGACCATGTTCTTTAAGTCAAATAAATAACAAATCTGATAAAGAGATATTTGTAAGTATATGGTTTTGATGTGTGGTGTATGAATGTGATTCACATATATCTTTAGTGGTGGGACTATATATTCTAAGTAAGAAATTGGGAATGGTTGAAAATAATGTTGGGTGCATGTGGTAGGGACATTTATAGATGACACAAGTTAGGGCACTTTCATGAGCCCTAATTAAATAGTGTATGGTGACCCATCAATTTGAAAGTTCAATTCTCACCTTTTTTTCTTTTTCTTTTTTTACCTATTTTACTTATCTGTTTTCTTATTTTAAAAGTTGGTTCTTCATCTTACGAAATCAATTATCAACTTTAGTTGTTCATAGGATGTTACAGCCATTCATTACGAGGTAAAGAATAGATTCAAATGAAAATATAAGAACATAGCTTTTGTCTATGTAGACATAGAATCATATGTCTTGTCTAGATAGATGTCATAGCTATATTTTCGATCTTAATGGAATTTTCATGACGCATGGTATCTAGATTTCATGATATAATTAATGAAGTCGATCTTGTTTGTTTAATTTGAGTTTAATTAGAAGCTTTATAATAAAAGACATGCATCAATCTATAACTGATAATATTTGTGTATTATCATTATAAATCATTTTTCTTTTTGTAACAAAAGGTTCAAAGAAACTGCTTCAGTAGTAGTAGTACTATTGCATGTTTAAAATATGAGATAAAGAAAAAATTGATAAGAGGTACAGTTTACAACCGTAGTCAAATGGATGTATATTAATAAAAAATAGATATATGGAAAATAAAAATGAATATAACCAAAATAAGCTTTTAGCAATACGGGGTTTGAGTGGAGATGTGTAATTTGTTCTTGTGCGACTAGTTTTCTCATTTATCTCTATTAAAAACGACGAACAGATAACGTCAAATGTGATATTATTGATGGTCTAAGCACTTTTTGAGCAGAGTAAAATAAAGGTACTTTTTGAGTTGTAAGACCAAAGAAAAAAAAATATTGGTACCATCCTTTCGTTGTAAGGATGGTTTTTGTGCGATGGAGAAATAAGTAATATAATCTGATCCGGTTATTCATCAAAGCAATAATAATAAAGAAAAATATGAACTGGTCGATCTTTTTGGACTTTAGAGAAAACGTATTGAGTCATTTGAACACTGTTATGATGGAATTTAGATGAGCTTTCAAAGCTTTAAGCAGAAAGTTTTATATCGTCTCTTACATTGTCAGATTTAACAGAAAGTTTTTGATATTTTATAAGTTACGATATACTATTTACTGTAAACATATCTATCTTTAAAATGGATGATTTAACCTGCAATACACATAATTATGACGAATGATCTAAAGGCATGTCGGAGTTTTCAAAAGACGTAATTATAATATATGCAAATATTTTTTGGGTTGATCTAGTAGTGACGAATGATCATAGTTGAATATTTCTGGGTCAACAATTATACTAATTTTTTAAAATAAGGCCCATGGTTCAAAGCCCAAATATAATCCAAAAGAGGGCCACTACTAGATGTAACATAAGCCACAATCGCTATTCGGTATGCATGTAAACCGATGTACCAACATTAAACCATAACGCCAAAGTTTCACAAAATTTTCACTTCCAATGATTAAACCGGTAATATATTTTTGTTGTCAATTCTGATTGAACCTGTTCCTAAAGGCAATAGCAAACCCTGCTTCAGACTCAGTCTTTGTCATGCATTTAGGGGATTTGAGATCAAATCCTCGTTTACTCAAAATATTCAATGGCTCATGAGAACCAACAACACATCTTGTAACCCAAAGCCGGTATTCGACTTCAGAAAAAATTGCATCAATCTACAACTTCAAATATATATGTTTTGATCCATGAACGTAGTTTGGAAGAATATTTGATTAATTCATTGGAGTAGGATCTGGTAGCCGGAGTTTGATCTTCCAAAACATAATTTTCACACTTTAATTATTTTGTTGATGGGAAATATGGAATGCATAACTTCTTTTTAAGTTTGCTATAGTCGACATATATAATATATATATTTGATCTCGTTAAAAAATAACACATAAACAATTTATACACAGAAATTATATAAATTTAGAAAAGAAACTTATAATTAATAAATATTTTTGTAAAAAAGATACTAAAAAGGAATTTAATTTTTTCACACATCAAAAATTAAATCACAATTTTCAAGTACTTAATTCTAATTTTAAATTCAGCTAGGATTTTTTTTTTTTTTAAGTCCAATAACTCATGTTCAATCATATCATATATCTATCATGTAATTAAGCATAGGACAAAATAAATATTATTTGTTCTCTTTCATCTACGTATATCAAATATGTGATTTTTTAATTACGAAATTAAGTTATGATGAAAAAAATGATAAAGAAATTTAGGATTTTGTTCTCTTTATACAAGTTAAGTTAGACAAGTGAAATCTCTTTCAACAAGTTATTTTGAAAAGTTTTCCCACTTATGCAAATTTTTACTTTCAAACGAAAAACTGCATCTAGTTTGATTACTTACTTTGCCTTAGTCTCATCATCCCAAACCTCGACAAAAAAACATGCAGGCTACAGACAAATGAAATCCGTGCTTGCCACAAGTTTGATCATAATGATCGATAACTGTGGTGAATCTTGGTGTATTTTGACACATAAATTGGCACAAGAACGATGTTGGGAAATTCTTTTTACTTGTGGCTCATAGAATATTTCATTCTTTGATTCTGTTTGATTTGTTTAATCGACAATAAATTTCTTAATGTTTTGAAACATTATGTATTTATGGACTATTATAAAATTTCTTTGATTTTTTGGGTTTCATTTAGGTGGGCTAATTTTTAGGATTTAGTTTTCAGTTTGATTTTAGTGGTTAATTGATCGAATTGTTCGATCTGTTATCAGATATTAGGCTTTTGGCTTTCCCCTTTTCTATTATCTCCTTCACTTTAATTTCCAGTTTTGCTAATTCAGAGGTTGGTCTCTTAGCAAAATCGAGACTTTTTCTCTATATCCCCTTCCTTGGAGATTTAACTCTTCATTGTTCGTCCAAAAAAAATAATGTTTTACAGTAACATCTAATTCTTAAAAGTATATTAGAAATTGCATCTTTTGACACTCAACATAATGGAATTTGAACAGTAACTATACAATATTTTAATTTTGTAGTGAGAAAAACTTTAAAACATTTTGGCGTGCATTCTCCTTTCTTTCCTTGATCTTTCATTCTATCATATTTTTAATAACCAAGTTAAAGGGGTTGCGCCTGACAGCCAAATGCCAATTTTCCTTTTCGTTTGTTTCGAGAAAGAGATCGATCAATTCCTTATTGTTCTCTAATTTTAATATAATCGTGAACTTGGTTTGTGAAATTCTTAGAGCTAATTGATAGGGCCCGTTTTGCCTATGAGTTTGTTTTTAAAATATTTAAACAAACTATCAAATATATAATTTACAGTAAACTAGTATTTAATAATCGATCTTTGGAATACAAATTAATCTAAAGTATTAAAATATTACCACTACCGAAATTTTTGTAAACAAATTTTTTTTTTGTACTTTTGAATTGGTATCTCATATTTTAAAAAATTCAAATAATATAATATCATTTTTATTTAATATTGTTTAATATATACCTTGGTCCTTGTGAGATATCTCTTATATATGCCGTGGAAAAAAAAAAAGATTACATTAGATATATACAGCACCCATTTCTCTATGTCTGTAAGAGAATGACAATGCTCTAATTTCATGATACTTGATTTAGAACATCTTCTTTTATTTTTTCTTCTCGGCCTCCTCATTTACCCATTAGGGTTGAAAATGAAGGTTTCTTCATTTTTTGGTATAAATAGTTGCGGATTTAGGGTCTGAGTATGCAGTTCAAGTGACCATGTGACAAAGGAATGTCGAACAAGGTTACAAGTGGGTTTCTTTTCATTTTCTGTAGTATCAGTACGATGTTATCTTTGGACCATAGGCTGTTCACTTTGAATCACAAGAGTTTATTTTTGGTGGAGGGGATGAGTAGAGTATGTGATTTGCACAGAGATATCTCTAAGGAGGTATGTATCTAGAGACATGTCAGTTTTTCTTCTCTCTATATCAATATAGAATTTAATTCTTGTAACAAAAGACTGTGTAAATCACATTCATATATATTACACAATTTCTTTTGTCATTTTCTTCTGAACCTATGCAACACACCATGCATTAAATTATATATATATGTATATCACACACACATGCGGATTTCAGGATCCAATCTCAGTTTAACCTAGGACAAAAATCAAACCAAAATGCCTCATGAGAACCAGCCACAACACATCTTGTAACCTGAAGCCGGTATTCGACCGGTTTGCCGGATATATTCGACTTCAGCTGCTGCCTTCTCGGCATCACATGCTTTTCTAGCTTCCGCTGAAGCTCTTTTCTCTTCCGACCTTTGCTTAGCCATCGCGATTTTCTTCACCATCTTTGCTTCAGCTTCAGCTTTCATCTGCTCAACTTTCGCCTACCAACAGAGTTTTAGCAGTTAATATGATGTGACTGACCAAGTAAAGCTTTCAAGAGAATAAGAATTTGATCCAAAAACTCTCATTATACCTCAATACGTCGCATTTCTGCTTCGAGTTTGGCTTTCTCCTGACTTTCCCAAGCTTGGATTCTGATTTCTTCACGCTTATACCTAAGCATGTTGAGTTAAGAAACAACACGTTTTAAGTCTTTATCCTTAAAGAAGCTTCATAAGAGGCAAATACATACATACCTTGCATTATGTTTTGATTTCTCTGCTTCTTCCCAAGCAGTCGCTCGTTTGTCAAACTCAATCCTCTTCGTCTCCTCTGCATCTACTCTGTTGTGACCGTTCTCCTCTTCTTCTTTACTTGCCCAAGCTGCGATGTTCGTCTTCCCTAGCTGAACTCCGAGAGCTACTATCTCTCTTCTCGTCCTCGCTTTCATTTCCTCCTCGGATAGTTCTCTTCCTGTGTTTCTCGACGGGTCTTGTGACAAACAAGACTCTTCTTGTTGGCCTCCTCTAGGAGTAGAAGGCAGAGACGAAGCCGGGCTGCGAAGAGGAGTTGTTGCACCAACTGGTGTCACAGATCTTGAAGGTTCTTGACTCGGTATTGGCGTCATTTCGGTTCCCATATCTCTCATACATACAGAACGAATCACAGGACCAGCTTCACACATAAATAAACACTTAATCTTGTCAAGCTTCCATTAGCTTCAATAACTCTAAATGCTCTGCGAACAAAAACTAGTCACACCGTTTTTTTTGTTTACCTGTTGACTCGTTGCGTGATGAATCCTTTGTTGTGTCCACAAGATCATTGCTTTGTGTGGATTGATCGATCAACGAGTTTCCTCCATAACCTTGATTATTAGGGAACTTCTCGAACGCAACAATCTGTGAGGATTGACACGGATCCATCCTTGATTTGTTATGCTCGTAACCTGTGTTCTCAGGCACAACCCTCACGGGCATGCGGTTCCCTTGACCGTTCTTCCTCAGCACCAAGTTCTGTCTGCTCATTATCCACTTCTCAGCATCATTCCATTTGGATGGCATTTGTCTTGAAGGGTATGCTCGGTTCTGATTCGAACGCTCACCACGAACACCGTGAAACTCGAAGCTTGATGAGCTAGCGTTACTGTCATAATCAAGATTTTCATCTTCTTGAGGTCTAAGAGCGATACTCAAGTCACCTTTTCTGTATTGCTGAGGTCTCGCTTGATCGTTGTTTTCTCTCATAAGACCTTCACTCCGATGCCTCGAGGCTTGGTTATCGTTCTCGGTTAGGTCCAAAACCGGCGCATTTGGCAGTTTAGCTACTACTATATCCGTAGCTGAAGCCGCCACTAGAAGTCACACACAACAAAAACAGAGCAAATACACAAACTTTAAGCCAACTTCATGACCAAAACAGACAAGAACAGAGCAAAGACATAAACTTTAGCCAAGAACAGAGTAAAGACAGAGACTTTAGCAAGACTAGGACTTAAAAAAAGGGATTAAATTATCAAATTGAGAAATGGAAAACGAGAGACAATACCATAATCATAGTCGTCTGAATCAGATTTAGAAGCTAGCAAGCTGTTCTTGAAGAACTCGGCGTCATCCGAAACCTGAAGACGAACAGGAGATGTTCTTGAAGAGTTACTGTTAGATCCTGCTTTCTTCTTGATATTGTGTTGACCCATTAGCTTCATTCGCAGCTTCGATGGCGAGATTATGCTCTTCTGTAAGATATAAATCAAACTTTATTGTGTTTTCTTGATTTCTTGGTGAAATTCAATAGTTAAAAGGACAAACAAATTAACTTTTTTTCTGATAAAGCAAAACTATTGAATTGAAAAGAGAAGAAAAAGGATGAAAATTTCTGCAATTTAACAGTAAAAAAAAAAGCCCCACGCAGAATTTAAAAGAAAAAGTTCATATCTTTCTCCCAGAAATTCTTCAACAGAGGAAACTAACTCACTGTAACATAATGGATGCTAAAATCCTAATTCCATACCTAATAATTTCAGAGTAAGGTAAAAAACAAAGGAAAAAACATAAAGTGAGAGTGTAATATTAATAACAAAACAGAGAAGTACAAAAGAAAAGAAGATTGAAAACCAGAGAAATGTTGTACTTGAGAGAGAGAGAAGATTTAAATTACCTGCTCCTTCTCTATCCTCTCGTAATCCATTGCCAATGCCAAAATCTTCTCTCTATCTCTTTATGTCTATATATTTACAGACATATATATATGTATGAAGCTGAAGACAAGACAAGCTATCTTCTCGCTCTAATCACTCTCTCCTCTGAAGAAGAAGAGAGACAAATGGGTGTTTTTCTAGCTTGTTTATTTGTTCTCTAATAGGGGTTTTGAGAATTTTTAGATAATGATTGAACAAAGGCGGAATTTTTTGTATTTTTTTATATTTTTGGGAATTGTTTTTTTGTATTTGTGTAAGAGAGAAAAAAAAGTGAAGATGGGGTACTGTGCACGCCGGTCCACATATGCATCTCATCATCATCACCGTTCTGATTTCGACACGTCACCTAACTCGTCCTTCGTTTTTTAATTACAAAGCATTTGTTGAGTATTTTGTTCTATTTCTCATCCATGAATAAATACATTTTTTGGTTTATATCAAATTAAATTAAAATCTCGAAAACGACCTAAATTTATATAAAAATTAAGAAAAGAAAAGTATAGATACAGTTATGTAGTCACAAAATGTAATGAATAAAACTAATATTTAGCAAAGTTCCATCTGAGTAAGAATATTATGAGTAATGATTTTTTGGGTGACATTTTTCCATTGTAATGATTTGGGTTTTCCTGAGATACATAAATTTAACTAAAGAAGAAAAAATTGAGATGCTACATGCCAAAAAGAAAAATTTACTGATATCTGAAAAGTCTATAAGTAGATTACTGTAGATTGGTAAAAGTGGATTTATTATTTACATCTGTCGATCTCGTCATAATGAACATAATCATTTCTTTTTCACTGTGAACTTTTGTTTTGAGGGTCACTGACTCACTGTGAACTTAATAATAGTAATTAAAAAAATGCAGAACCCCTAAAATTTGAAGAAACAACAACATAAATTAATATTTGGTTCAGAGTATAAATTCCAAAAAAACAAAACATGAGCCAGCAGAAAAGTAGCATAATAGTATCTAGAATTTGGTTGCACGTTTGATATTTTATTATTTCTGTGTACTCGAATGGTCAATTTTAAGAGTGATAACAGTTATACCATTTGGTTTATTGAACTACTGTAGTAATTATGATAGTGACAAGTAAAACAGAGCACGTTATTATTATTGTTAAATTTTTTTTTGGCTTAAAGAAGAAACCGAAGAAGTGGTTGTGTGTATATTAGCAATGCAATGTAAATGATACAAAACAAATCAGTACTACATTTCGAACTGACACCTTCTCCACTTTAGGGCTTTACGTTTCTCTGTCACTTTGACCGTTGACTGCCTCTCTTCTTCTCATAAATTTGTAGTATTTAATATTACTGTACATATTTTCATTATGCAAAAGTTTATCTATAGATTAAAATTCCCGAATAATCAGAATCGATATATTCCGTTGACTACCTCTTTTTACTATCTTTAGCCCTTTTTGGGTTTGTTAGGCTAAACATCCAATAGTATTGGTTGAATAATCGTATGATTATAGCAAACAAGCCGTGAATATTAGTTTTATCGTCTTATAAAATTCAAAACATACGAATGATATAAACAATGGCGAGCGTGTACGTATTGTGAGGCTCAAGCTCAGCTAGATTCCTATAGAGTAGTATAGACTGACCTTGTTTTCCTCAAAAGAGATCTATAATTAAAGTAATATTTGTTGATGATACATGCTTTTACACAGAAAATATGTAAGATTACTTTCTTTTCTAAAGGACATGTTTCTATTTCATTTTTAAACGGACATGCACAAAAAGAACAAAGTATGTGATATTCATCAATAAGGAAATATGTAAACGACATTTAGTTTAAGTTCATCTCCTAGTTCGGTCTTAAATACGGGACAAGAAACACACGATTACTCATATGAGTATATTATAGTGTCATGAAACTTTTGCTTTTCATGCAATGTATATTATGGTTTTCAAGTATACTTTTGAATCTAAATTTAAATATTATAGATTTATCGTGTCATTGTATTCGAAACTTTTGCTTTCCAAGAAATGTATATTATGGTTTTCAAGTATAATTTTGAATCTAAATTTGATGACTGAAACAACTAGTGTTGTCGCGACAATAATCCATATTATAAGTTTATCAACAACAAAAAAAACCATATAATAAAACTTGAGCCATAGTGTCGAATTTTGTCGTTTGTCTATGTATGAATAAAATGATATTAGTTGGACCCTTAAAGAAAGATCTTTGACCAATCGTACCGGCATTCAACAATTTGTTCTTCTTATAAATAGTGAAACAAACAAGCAATTCCATATAATCAACGTTGATGTGATTGTGATGTACATACTTGGTGGTCGCTGATTGATTATTTCATTTTCTCAAATTGAATAATAACGAAATGTTTATGCTCATTTGTTTTTTGGTCAACAACGAAAGAGTTCTGCTCGTTTAAAAGAATGTTCAAACAAATACATATCAACTGATATATCGCAAATCAATTCTACGATTCACAATGGGCGTCGTTGAAATGGTGCGTCAATTTGCTTTGATTTTAGTGGTCGGTGTATATGATAAGTCAAAAAAGCCACAAGTACACATTTCCTCGCACACACTTTCTGACATTTTTTCCATTTCACACTGCTATTATAGTTTAACAAAATTTCGTAAATCTAAAATTACAAAAATCATTTACAAAGGTTCAAAATCAAAACCATGAGTTTGACTATTAGAGTAGAAAATGTAAACAAGAGACAAACCATAACTCTCTAGTGGGTCCATAATAAAAGAAAAGTCACTACCTAAAAAGGTTTTGACAAGCTTATTGAAACTTCTTCGATCAAAAATATAGATCCATTATTGAAACTTAAATTTGTTGTTGCTCGAATTATAAATTAGCTTTCTTTTGTGAACATCTCAGTGGATGGAGATGAATAAAACTCATCGAAGGTTGTGTGATACATATTTTTTTTTTTGCCTCAAATGAAAATTTAATATATGTCAACCGAAGCTTAAACGGACAGACATACAGCATCATGCCACTTCTTTTGCCCCATCCTATCGACGCAAACGAACTCGTTTAGACATCTCTAGTTTAAGTAGTTGTTTCATTTAAAAGAAGTAATAATACAAAAATCATGTAAATAAAAAAATCTAGACTTGAATCTTAAAAAGTGCTTACATCATTTTCCACGAATTCAAACTAGTTTTGACATGTCCTAACAGTCTCGTGATCTCGTACGCTTAAGACCATTTTTTTTATATATCCCTGAGTGATTGTGACCTGTAAAATATGTGTCTTATTCTTAATCAGCCATACTGAAGGATATTATCAACAATTGAAACTTTCAGTTATGTTTCATACAGTCAATAATCTATTTTGAAATTTCTAAGAAGTAAAAAATGGATTGGTGATGTAGTAAGCATAAGTAGATTTAGATGAACTGATTTCTTTCTTTTGTTTTTATTATAACAGGTATATTTCATAGGGGGAAAAATCAAAAGATTCCTAACTATATAAAATAAATTCCAACTTAAAGTGAAAATAACACAAAAAAAAAATCTTTAGTCATAATGTTTGATATGAAGCCATGTGAGCAAACGCATTTTGAAGAAAACTGTTTCTCTCTTCTCCCTTTCTGTATCTCCCTCACTCTCTTTGTATTTTAAGAATAAGAAGACCCACACAAGCATCCTCAAACTTCTGATTTAGATATTCAGCCTAACGAGATTTAATGAACCAGCGGTGAAATCAAATGCAAAATAATCTTAGTTTTCTAAATGAGAAGGCCAAGTAATGGTTTTACCTCTTCATAGATCAATTGGGACTCTCAAGCCATCATGCGCAAGTCTTACTGGAATCCCTTCCCTAACAAACCAAATATCCCATATAGTCAGATACTTCATCTCTTTGCTATAGAGAGCGCTTCTACAGTTTTCTACCTTTTAGACCATTCTTCAAGAAACTCGTTGTCCTTGTGGTGATCAAACTCGTGAGTCATTCCGATTAAAAGAGCCCTTTTCGGACTCAGTCTTTTGATTGTGTCGAGTGTCTACAAAGGAAACACAAGTAAGCACACATAAACCATAAAGAAGAAAACCCACACCTTCAAACTAAGCTAACCTGTGGGAAACATAAGTGGGTGTTGTGGGATCCTGTCTGCAGTCACAATAAACGACAAAACGTGATAACATCAGCTTTTAGTAAGCTTAAACAAAAAAAAAATTCAAACTTAAATGCGTAAGGATGATCTGTGTTACCTTATATAATGTATCCAAGATAAGGAGATCCAATTGTCCACCACCAGACTTCGATATAGCTGTTTATCCAAAGTCAAGTGCAAGTCTTAGACATATTCTTTAAGCGTATCGAAACACGAACGTACTAAGCAATTTGTTACACTTACCATACTCGGTGTTTGGAGGAAAGCGTGATACATCAGATATATACGCCACTCTAGATTTTTCACCAAAAAGGAAACCAAGACAGACATAGTCTTCTCCATGCATCACCTACAAGCAATAAGATTTGAGTCTCCACATAGATCAGCAAGGAGACATGATTCACTGTTTCTACAGAGTCTTTTAAAAATCTTACTGGAAGTGGTGTGAATGATAACTCTGAAGCTACAAATGGCTTCTCACAATCTTCTTCAATAACTCTCCAATCCAACTGTGCTACTCGCCTAACTTCTTGGCCTTCTTTCAGTTTCTTCTGAACTAAATACGGGAACTTCACAGCAAGGCTGTTTTCAGAAAAAGCATGTGATTGTCGAAACTACAGCTCCAAATTCTAAAAGGTAACACTAAAATTTCCAAAGACCATGAAGATGTTATTACTTATTACCTGTCCATAGCATATTGGCTCACGAAAATTGGAGTAGGATCTATATCATTGGTAGGACTAAATGGTTGCACTGAACGTATATCATCCAGGCCAAGTACTGCATCAGCATGCTCATGTGTCAAAATTATCTGCAGTTCATGCAAATATTAGTCCGCATATAGGAAAACTCGAGAAAGATTTGCAATTTCATTAGCTTACAGAATTTGGTTGGTGTTAAGCTTTTTTTTCCATACATTGTCGCAGGCATGTTAACACATCATTCATAACAGGAGATCACAATGTGCAGAGTATATATAAACAAAACGATTTCGTCACGACTTACAGAATCAACTTGAGGAATCTTGTGAAGAGTAAACCAACGAAGGACTTGTTCCCTGAATGTTTTCCCCACATCGATTTGAATGTATTTATGTTTGCCGTCACTTTGGCAAAAATCAATGAGCAGTGAAGTGTTTCCCCTGCCACAAGGACAATATATCTTTAGCAATAAAAAGAAAATCTACAGGAAAGCTCAGCTATAAGATGGATCGAATCAAGCGCCAAGCACAAAGGTTTCATAGGATTCAACTCCACTCGATCATGGATCAAAGTAGATCACAGAAGTAAAGTAATTGAACTAAGCGACCCTAAAACCTTGAAAAAAAACGAGCTGATATAAATTCGAGCTCCGATCAAACAGAAGTGATGAGAAGAAAAACCCCAATCTCAATCTTACGGAAATCGAAATAAGCTCAATGTCATATACGAAAAAAAGCCAATTAGCATAATCGATTTACGGAAGAAAAACCCTACATAGCTACTCCACACTCGAAAAAATCCCTGAAACTTTCGGACTCGCATTGCGATCACAGGAGAACCGAAATCAAAAAGACGGGCAACACACGATAATGTACCTGTAATTAGGGTTTCGCTCTGGAGGGATCGAGAGAGACTGAGAGCAAACGTAGCAGGGACTATCGGATTGCTGGATCAAGCACATTGCGTTAGGGACCGCGCTCGAACATCCCGTTCCGAGGAATATCAGAGCGGATCCATCGCGATCAGAGGAAACGGAGCCATTCTCAGTCGGAATCGAACCGTCCATCATCGGCGATTCCAGTAATTCTCCGTTCAAATCTGGAATTTTCCGGCGACGGAGGAGGATCCTCGAAGTCGACAGTATCACAGGTAAACAACAAGGGTGTTTACGACGCAAAGGGTACGAGAAAAACAATAATAGTTTTATATATATAGAATAAAATAAATAAATAAATACAAACCGTTTTTCTCTATTGCTTGTTTGTCACGTGGCGTAATCTTAACGGTTCCGAATAGAACACCTTAAGGTAATTTGGGAATGTTGATTCCTGTTTTATTGACAAGAAGGAAATTGTTATTCCTCCTAACTTTACAATAATTTTTTTTTTAATAAAATTTGTTTGCAATATTGTTCAGGCATTTTCAAACTTTTGATTTCTGATAATTGTTTTTGTCTTTTTAATCTTTTTTTTTTGGTTTATGGTTAAATGTCTTTTTAATCTTGTCTTTGTTTAACTATTTATTTCCAGTTTAAACAGGATTAAGGTTCTAGAAATCGTTTATAAAAAAATAATTTGATGATCAGAAATTCAGAGTGTTTAGTGAAAAAAATCAGTAACAGTTTTTTCTAACCCAAATCGATTTTTGGCTAATGCGACCGACTAATAATATCAAAATCGGTAAAGAGAATGATTAAATGGATGATGAATTGATAATATCTAAATATGGGTAAAATCAAATTGTGTTTGGACTCAGGGCTTTTCAAGCAGTCCTCATAACTATTAGTATTATTTAAAGCCCACCTTTTTAATTTATTTTTTTACTTTGACTTGTAGCTAAGTTCAATAGGTTCTTCACCCCCGCTCTGATAATTTTAAGCTTTCAATTTCAAAATTCTCATTGTTCCGTTGCTTTGCTCTTGGAAACACTACGATTGAGTGAGCTTCGTGCTATCTGAGAATTTAGTAGCTAACCCTGTGAAGGTGCTTCTCGCTACTTTTTTCCTAATTGATGTTGAATTTAAGGGTCAATCGGCTTCTTCGTAGACCCTTAATCCGATTTTCAGCTTGCCCAATTTCTACCGGCGGAGCCGATGCATCTTCGTCGACATCCTCGCCGGAGAATCCTAGCTTAAATCAACGAGAAGCTGTTTCTTTTCAAGAAAATGACCAATTAGGAGAATCCAGGCGATTGGGTTTCGGAAAGTCACCGGCTTTGGATACTTCGAGCGTCAGTGAAGCTAAATTCGGAGAAATTCGAAACCCTAGGCTCAATAGGTTCGACGAGATTGATGGAGAAGAAGAAGACGAAGATGACGAAGACGATGACGAAAATGGAAGAATTGACGAAGATCGTGATGATGGTTTTGCTGTTCTGGAATCTTTCGGGAAGATCCCACAGTCGAGAGAAGAAGTTAGTAGATTTGATGTCGAAGAAGATGAATCTAGGCATCCTTTGGTGAGAGAGATAACTAGATTGATTGGTCTCAGGTCATCTTGGAACCCAAAGCATGAAGGCCAGATGAGGAATCTTCTAAGGAGCCTTAAACCATCACAAGTCTGCGCTGTTTTACGCTCACAAGACGACGAACGGGTTGCTCTCAAGTTCTTCTACTGGGCTGATCGTCAATGGCGGTATCGCCATGACCCTGTTGTGTATTACTCGATGCTTGAGGTTCTAGGCAAGACTAAACTGTGTCAAGGTGCTAGAAGAGTTCTCCTTCTGATGAAGCGTAGAGGTATACATCGAACCCCTAAAGCGTTTTCGCTTGTGATGGTATCATACAGTAGGGCAGGTCAGCTTAGAGACGCGTTGAAGGTGTTGACTCTTATGCAGAGAGCTGGAGTTGAACCTAACTTGTTGATCTGTAATACTGCTATCGACGTGTTCCTGAGAGCGAATAGGTTAGAGAAAGCTTTACGGTTTCTTGAACGTATGCAGGTTGTTGGTATAGTTCCAGATGTAGTGACTTATAATTGTTTGATCAGAGGGTACTGTGACTTGCTTCGAGTTGAGGAAGCAATTGAGCTACTAGAGGAAATGCCTAGCAAAGGGTGTGTGCCGGATAAAGTTAGCTACTATACCATCATGGGCTTTCTCTGTAAAGAGAAGCGGATTGTGGAAGTGAGAAACTTGATGCAGAAAATGGCGAAAGAGCATGGTTTGGTGCCGGACCAAGTCACTTACAATACTCTGATTCATATGCTCACAAAGTATGATCATGCGGATGAGGCTCTTTGGTTTCTTAACGATGCTGAAGAAAAAGGTTTTCGGATTGATAAGGTGGGTTATAGTGCTATAGTTCATGCATTGTGCAAAGAAGGAAGAATGTCCGAGGCGAAAGATCTCATAAACGAGATGCTGTCGAAGGGGCATTGCCCTCCCGATGTAGTAACTTATACCGCGGTTGTGAATGGCTTCTGTCGTTTGGGTGAGGTGGACAAAGCCAAGAAGCTGCTTCAGGTTATGCACACACATGGATACAAACCAAACACTGTGTCATACACAGCTCTGTTAAATGGGATGTGTCGGACGGGGAAATCGTTAGAGGCGAGAGAAATGATGAACATGAGTGAAGAGCAATGGTGGAGTCCGAATTCTATTACTTATAGCGTACTTATGCATGGGTTTCGTAGGGAAGGGAAGTTTTCTGAAGCCTGTGATGTGGTCAGAGAGATGGTACTTAAAGGGTTTTTCCCAGGGCCAGTTGAAATTAACTTACTGCTCCAGAGTCTTTGCCGGGATGGGAAAGCACACGAGGCCAGAAAATTCATGGAGGAGTGTCTGAACAAGGGCTGTGCTATTAACGTCGTGAATTTCACTACAGTGATTCATGGTTTTTGTCAGACCGATGAGCTAGATGCTGCTCTCTCAGTGCTCGATGACATGTACCTGATCAACAAACACGCAGATGTCTTCACATATACTACTTTGGTTGATGCATTGGGGAAAAAAGGTAGAATAGAAGAAGCAACAGAACTTATGAAGAAGATGCTTCATAAAGGTATAGACCCCACCCCTGTTACATACAGGACTGTTATCCATCGATACTGCCAAATGGGAAAGGTCGATGATCTCGTGGCTATACTGGAGAAGATGATACTGCGGCAGAAATGCAGGACAGTTTATAACCAAGTCATTGAGAAGCTTTGTGGTTTGGGAAAGCTTGAGGAGGCAGACAAACTTTTGGGTAAAATTCTGAGGACAGCTTCGAGATCTGATGCTAAGACGTGTTATGTACTTATGGAAGGCTATCTTAAGAGCGGTGAAGCTCTGTCAGCATACAAAGTGGCTTGTCGGATGTTTAACCGCGACTTGATACCTGATGTTAAGATGTGTGAGAAGCTAAGCAAGAGACTGGTTCTGGAAGGAAACGTTGATGAGGCAGATCAGCTTATGTTACGGTTGGTTGAACGTGGTCATATGTCACCTCAGTCCTCAAAACAGTCGATGGTCTCATAAGTACCTGTCTGTATTTACTTGCATTTTTGTAAACACAAACTTCTTGGTAGACTGTTTGAGGTTTCAAGCGAAGAGGGTTTGATGGAATATAATTCTGTCCAGGTCTTGGAGTGTAGCTACCTGCTGTTGTATTTCTTCACTGGTTAGTCACAACTTCTAGATCCCAAGCAAAGCGACTAGGCTTTCACTCCCTTAGCAGTGAGAAAACCGGTTTGAGCAAAACCAGTTATTCTAAATCACATTTTCCTGGTAGCGACCTGTTAAGTACTCACTGCTTTGAATTTAAGTGAAACCTTACAATCAAGAGTACTGATAAGTCTCTGTACTCTTAAGTTTTTACTTTAGTTAAGGACTAGATAATGTTAACACTTCACAGCTCAATAGCCTAATACAATGCACAATATATTTACCTCACAGTTTCATTGATCACTATGATTATTCTAAGTAGCGATTTCACTATAGACTATGATGCATGGTTGGTTGCTGCTTCATAATTAGACTACAGTAGATACGAATTGTTGATGCAATATATTGAGAAGGCCTGACTGTAACACCAAGAGTTTCTTCTATACATTTAGGATGCTCACTTTCTCTGAAGGCATATCCAGGTTATAATATCAATTATGAGAAAGAAAAAGTAAATCTTTTGGGACAGACAAGATTCAATGGCTAGAAATAGAACAGGTGAAAATTTGAGGCCTATCTTTGATGGGGTATATCTTACACATCGCTATATCATTAAAGGTATTCCATTATTTTCTGTATTTGGGTATAGTGAAGTTGATAGCTTTCTTGTTGCATTATAGCTCTGTTATTGTATATTTGTACTGTTGTTGGTTTTGGTTTGATGTGATGGCTCGAAATCAAGTCGTCAATGGTTTTGTCATGCGAACCTGGTGATGTTGAAGTTACTTATCAGACAAGATTTTCGTGATTAATGCCTACATTTTGGCTGAATCTGATAGTGAGCCGAAGTTAGAAACTGTTGCTGTGAAAGTGAAAGTAAAGAGTGCACCTTCCTAAAATTACTGCTTCTGTTGTAGATTGTTTATACTCTGCAAACAAAAGATCATGTCTGCTCTGCTTGTCCACTTATAGGTTTTATAGTGAGCAATTTTCTTCCATTTAGGCGTTTTGCTGTTTGTTTTTCAATGTTAAGGCTGAGAATCCTTATGCAAAACACGTTTTTTAAACTCTGCATTCTCTGTTACCATATAATTCCATACACAATAATGCTAAAAAAAAGAAAGTGTTACTTTCAAAAAAATCTCTTATCAAAGATGTATTTTGGTGATGTGATTTGCTGTTTTGTTGGTATTGCTTAAATGGTATGTCCCGGTGATATGAAAACGATTAGAACTGTTGTTGTCTTTATGTGGAAAGACTTGTCTACAGGATTATACCTTGGATTTATGATATTTTCATCAACACCTGAGTAAATGATACTAGAACTTCAGGAGGTAAGAGGTTACTTGTGAATGTCGACAGAACGAGAACTGCTCACCCTCTTTACATTACTGTACAATCTATATTGCTTTGTTGTCAGATGGCTTACAGTTACAAATACTAAAAGTTTAACTTTACAGCAAATAATAGTTTCTAGAAACTCGATCGCTCTGGTTGAATCAGCGTCTAGCAAGTGTTTTGGCACCTTATGTATTGAGATCAAAATAGCTTCAAAAGAGTTACAAAGGATTCACCTTTATGAACAATATAGTCCTGCAGTTAAAAAAATCATAGCCTAAGACCATGTTGCTCTCTGATTTGTGTTTTTACGTAATAACAAGACTAGATGTGTTGTAACACTTCACAGCTCATACAAAGCTTTGATTATTCTGAGGAGTGATTTCATTATAGACTATGATGCTTTGTTGGTTGCTTTCTTGCTGCTTTATAATTAGATTACGGTAAATGGTACAATTAGGTAAAGAATTGTTGATGCAACTGAGAAGGCGTGAGTGTATCACCAAGAGTTTCTTTACATTTAGGATCTACATCTACTCACTCTCTCTCTGAAGGTAAATGCAAGTAATTATAACATCAATTATGAAAAGAAAAACGAAATCTTTCGGGAAAGTTGGGATTCAATGGCTCGAAATAGAATAGACGAAAGTGAAGTTGATAGCTTGCTTGTTGCATTAGCTCTCCGTTATTGTATATATTTGTATTTTTGTTGGATTTGGCTTGTTGTAATGACGCGGAATGAAGTCAGTCATTGGTTTTTGCGTGTGAAACTGGTGATGTTGCGGGTACTTATCTCTCGTGATAATGCATGCAGCTTGGCTGATTCTGATGGTAAGCCAAAATTAGAAACTGTTGCTGGGAAAATGAAAGTAAATAGGACACGACCTTCTTCAACTAGTACTGCTTTTGTTGTTGTTTGTTTATATTCTGCAAACAAAACATCATGTCTTCTCTTCTTGTCCAGTTAACGGTATTAAACTGTTGCTTTTTATTGGAACTTGCTGTTTGTTGTTTCCATGTTAAGGCTGAGAGAACCCTCATACAAAAAAAAAAAAAAAAAAAAAAAACTCGCTTTTAACTCTGCATTCTCCTGTTACGGTATAGTGCCATACACAATCATACTAGAAAACGAAAAGTGTTACTTTCAAGAATCTCTTGTGAGAAAGGCTTTTTGGAAAAAAATATGTTGGAATCGATCTTTGGTGATGTGAGTTGTTGTTTTGTTTGTAATGCCTTAAATGGTATCTACCCGGTTTATGACAGCGATTATAATTTGTTCTTGTCTTTTAATGAAGGGCTTGTCTACAGGATTATACCTCGAATTAAGCAGTAAACGCTACTTGAGCTTCATGTGGGTAAGAGGTTATTTGTGGATGCCGACAGAGCAAGAACTGTTCACTCCACCGCTTTGATTAAACCATCATCTAGCAAGCTCTTTGGCATCTTATGTATTGAGAAAATAACCACAAAAGAATCATCTTTGGCAAAGTTTTTAGCTTTGGAAGCCTTAACCGAACAAGACTAAACCCGGTTTAGTTTTTCTTGTTGCTTTACTCATAAACAACTTTGGTGAATGGTGAATCCTTCTTTACTTTCCCATGAATCATACAGCCACATTGTTGGAGTCACTTGCAATGGGTTATGTAGTTCCTTTAGCAATATTCTACGTAACATAAACACTTTATTTAAACTTTCCTTCTTTTTCTTCCACTCTTTGTAACGAATTTATGACACTGATCAGATGTGTTATGTCATTCCTTTAAGCTTTAGCACTCTTCGGTTGAGCATATAAACATATTATATAAATAAAAAATTCTTCCACTCTTTGCAAATGCTGTGTGTTTGCATGATTCATGTTCATTTAGGGTTATTGTTTGAATGTCATTACTGAAATCACTCTGCAACAAAACACCAAGAGTCCTTCTTTTTGCTACATATCCCGAACTCGTGGGTATGTTGTTCCTTTAGCAACCTATATATTTTCCTTTTTTACTTTTTTTTTCATCCATGCATCTCTGCAAATGCTGTGTGTTTTGTGTGATCTACGTTAAAACTGAACTGTTTTTGTCTGCTTATGGTTACAATTGCTTACCTCGTCGGCTTCTTACTTTGTCTTGAGGCTTCTTACGCGTCGTCAAGAGAAAGCTTATTGGTTATGGGACTCATGGAGTATCCATTCTATGTGCTTGACCTAGACTGTGTCTTTGAGGAGTTTGTGTTTGGTATTATTCAATGGCACTTATGCTTTTGATTGCTGAATCGTTTTCCCATGTTCTGTTACTTGTGTCACATTGTAGTGTAAAGTTGGTTTTGACCCTACTGCTCCTTTTCATATCCTTGCAACTGGTAGGGCAAATTAGGCAACTTATTTGGGGTTTTGGGGTATATCTCTGCTTGGTTACACATTATTTAATTTAGAAAATGTTTTATTTTTAAATATAATACATGGCTAGCTACTAGTAAAAATGTATCTTCAGTCTTCTGTGTAAAGAGTTATATGAATCTATTTTTATTTCCAAATTCTGATATTCTGATTTCTCATTATATACAAACAGTTACATGGAATAATATGAATTCACCTGAAGGAAATTACATCACATTCAGAGAACTAACAAAAGTGTTAGTAAACAAAGTTTATCTTTGATCCAAAAAAAGAACAGAAACACACTAACTAGATAGCAAAAAAAATTACTCTCAAAGCTTATCTTCGTTTATAGTAATCCTTCTCGATTCGATCGAGACCAACCGTTTGGTGATACAAATCAGGGCATACACCATTTCTCCCAAGCGGAGATTAGAACTCAAGAGCAAAAACTCAACCTACCCACTAAGAGAAATTTTACAACCAAGTAAGCCATCACTATATCCTTTCATTTTTTTTTTTTCGTTTTTTTCCTAAATATGACTATGCGTAACTTCTTTTTTCATATGTATTATCAAGCGGAGATATTTGCAGAAATATCTTAGATATGTTTGTCGTTTTTTTAAGAGAGATGCATGTGTCTGGTAAGATCAAGCAGTTAAGAAATAGTGTTAGTTTAGGAAATTTTCTGTTTTGTGTGAATAAACTCCAAATAGATCAATTAAATGGATAGTACAAGATGCTATAAAAGAAACTCTTTTCATCGAGCAGATAGATTTCACATATATGACGAGTCGGACTGGAACGCATTTAACATATTTTTATTAGTTATTTACCATTTAAAAAACAAAAAAAACTATTGAAAATGGTAGACCACTCAAGATTATTTTCAAAGCTTTATAAAAAGAGATTTGATCTTTAAAACCCTATCAATCAAAAGATCTTGATCTTTGATAACTCAGAGGCAACATAGCATTACAGCTCACACACATGCTTGGAACAGCTAAAGATTATTGGGTTTCCTCGTTTCTTTTCTTAGATTACTGATCATTCTTTAGTTTATCTATTTTTGTTTGTTGTTTTATTTTATATATATGATCTAAGCTCGAATCTTAAGGGGGGCAAATCTCAGAAGAATGATTGTTTTTGTATCTGATTTTATTATATTGTATTAAAATATTGTTAAAATAAGATAAAGTTGTCCCCTTTCAAGACCACCTGATCTGCAAATTTTACCTGTGATGTTCCTATAACATGGTCTGAATCTGATACATGTTTCAATCTATGTCAAGGCTTGTTACAATCTTTTCCCCCTCTTTTGTGTTGTTTACATAGTTATTATTTCTAAAACAAATAAAAATCACCAAATAAGTCCACCTTTTTCTCTTAAACATTTCTTTGTGATTTGACGATGTAGATATTTTTTTGAATATACTCCGATTTGTGATCCCAAACTAAATTAACAATTCTTCTTAGAAAAAAACTAATCAGGAAAAAATAAACTAAAATGAAAGTGATTAATCATATTCACAGAGGAAAAGAGATCAACAATCATTTTCCACAATAGTGCCCGTATCAACTGCTAGTTCCAAAAAGGAAAATATTTTCCACAACCACTATAATTTGACTATTTTCTTACTTATTAACAATCAAATACACCCAAAATGCCAAAACGATTGCTTTAAAAAAAAAAAAAAACTATACAAAAACTGGGTACCACCAGCACTTATATAAATGCTAATTTAATGATCTGTCCATTCGGGACATCGGATAAAATATTTTAAAAAATTAACGATGGTTCTTGATAATTAATTGGTAATAATGATAAGCATGTGTTGGAAAGTAAGAAGGGTATGGCTTTTTGGTAGGGAAGAAAGTTTATTGACATCAAATTATAGCATGCATTGTCCCCTCCAAAGGGTATATGTCATTCCTACACCCACTTCTCTTTAATATCATAATAATCAATAAACGTTATAAATAATCCTTTCCCTGACATATTTGGAATACTATAGGAAGTCAGTATCAATTAACAGGCTTACATTTTATAATGTGGTTTAATTACTGGCTAGATTGATAAAAATATAATTGCAGTCATCAAACTTTAAGTTTGTAACTATATTTTCACTACAAACAAATTATAGCTAGCGTAATTGTAGTCGTCAAATCCAAGAATTGGAATGTTTTTACACGAATTTATTGTGTTTGCATGTTGACGTCCTTTTTTTTTACTTGTGCATGTTGACATACGACGATTACAGAAATCCATGTCAAATATTCTAATTTATTGTAATAGCATATATAAATGTGAAACGTAGGTATATCTCTTTTTCAGTGTTGTACATCTTTATAAATATAGTTACATTACAATTTATTAATCAATAAACATTGAACGTAAATGAACCAAACTCTAAAATATTTCTATCATTGTAACTTGTATCTTGTAAGTATATGAAACACTTTGAGACACATTGAACGTAGTTTGGCAATGCAACGAATGAAACACATGCATACTTGATAAATATGTATGAGACACATGGTATTTTGAAGAAATTCTTGTAATTAAAAAAAAAATCAAGGTATTTTGTTTTCAGTTTTCACAATGCAAAACGATCTCCGATTATAAATATCATAGTTAGATATTTTAGAAAGTAGGGTCCAAAATTTATAATTTATTTGTAAAATTTTAAGCTTAACAAGATGAGATTTGTTTTTGGTTTTACACTCCACTAGGACCACTATCACCCAAAAATAACTGAAAACTTAAATCATGAATTCAAATTATCGAAGAATAAATACAGAGAAAATAATGTTACAGCTAAACAAAAGGGAAACCATTAAATCATGTCTTTCAGAGTAGGGACTCCAAGTGGCAATAGCTTATGCGATTTGATGACAGAAACAAAAACAATATTAAATCAAAATATTTATTTTACATACATAATTTACAGTATTTGCCCTTACCTATAATTTATTTATTTGTTTTTTTCGAAAGGGTTTGCCCTTACCTGTAATTTATTAATAGCATATATTACTTGTACAAGTTGAAAAAGAAAACAACATATAGATTTACAACTTTTAACCAAAAAATATGAAAAAAAGAAAAGCATCTCAGTTTTTTCAGACCAAGAGAAAAAAGGATAAAAACGAATCACACAAGAAAAAATAATCCAATAAAACCTTACAAATGTTAACCCTTTTCCCTTAATACATTCAATGATGTAAAGGTAGTTTTTTCTTTCAGGTACTGATTTGCCTAAAAAATTAGAGTCATAATATTAAAAAAAAACGAGATTAAAAAAAGTTCTAAAATGTTCCAAATTGTTTGTTTTGCAGTAATGTATATATACTACATTACTACTGTACGTATAAAGTCATTCAATTGTTTTACATATTTTTAAATACTGAAAACAGTGTTATGGTTGACAACAGAAAAAGAATTCAATTCTTGAATGACAAAGAGAAAACAGTGATATCTACATACGTTAATTAGAATTAGAATATAAAATAATAGTACTTTTTGGATAAATAATAAAATGTGTACTAGTATGAAGAATGTATACAATAATATCCTTGTACATTCACGGATTACACTAAAACTAACATTTATTATAGCTTAGTTTTTTTTTTAGACCAGGAGAAAAAGAGTTGAAAGCAAATCAAAAATCCACACATGAAGAATTAATTAAAATAAATCTTTTTTTTTATTTCCTTGCCTACTATATATATATGTGTACGTCAGTGTACATACACAACATATACATTTTCCCTTTTCTTCATCGGCGAACTAAAATAAAAAGACTCATTGGCGAAATTTCGAGTGCTCGGAGAAAAAAAAAAAAAAGACTTCAACGGCGAAATGGACGAATCGTGGCGTATGAAGATGGGTTTAGACGTTGATCCATTCTTCTCCATTGCTCGGAAATCCATGGACGCTCGAATTGACGCCGAAGATTTCGCCGATGTTTTCGGCGGTCCGCCGCGAAGCGTCCTCACCCGGAAATTCTCCGGCGACTTTTCTCGCTCCGATTGTTTCTACGACGAGGTTTTCCGGCCCCCCGGAATTTGCTCCGGCGGCACCCTTCCGTCTTCTAAATCTCACGGCAGAAACTTACCGGCGTTCAGGATTCCTTCCGGCGGGGATGGGTTTTACGACGGCGTGTTCGGCGGTCGCGGCGGGAAGACGAAAGAAGGATCCAAAAAGCAGAGCCCGAAAGCAAAAACGAGGTCAAATTCTTCGTCGGTGCTTACTTCCGAGGAGGCCAGTCCTCATTATCCTCCGCCGGCGGCGACTTCCGGCGATGACGCCGGATTTTCTTCTTTTACTTCGAGACTCAGGTGAGCGAAATTTACTATTTTACCCTCTACATCAGTGTAATTCTCGAGGTCAAAAATTCGTAATTTTGACATCCTCTGTTTTCGTAGACCGTTAAACGTCCCGTCGAGAAGTCATAAGCGGGAGTCGAAGAAACAGAGTTTCCCGGCGTTTCCGGGAGATTCATTATCCGGCCACGACAACACACCGGAAAAATCAGATTTTTACTACAAAAAACCACACTTTGGCGGGTCGAGAAGATCCTCGCCGGAGACCATGAGCTTGGATCCCAATTCCTTCAGGAGAATGGATGATTTCGGACCGAGCTCTCCGGCATCTTCCCCTGTTTCTTCCTTTATCTGTGAAGAAGACGACAACATTGAGGCAAAACAGAGAACGACCGGAGACTGTAAAGCCGAAGAGGTAGAAGACGAAGAAGAAGAGATGAGCTCTTACGTAATCGAGATAAACTCAGATCGTTTTGATCGTTACAGAGAAGGAGGAAGTGGAGGGGGAGGAAATTCGGATTCGAACGACATGGATGAAGCAATAGCTTGGGCTAAAGAGAGATCTCAACGCCCCGAAGCAAAGCAAACAGAAGAAGACTTGACGGATTCAATAAGAAGCGAAGAGGAAGCCAAATCAGAACAAGAGGTTAGTGTCACTGACATTTTCCCGGGAAAAATCAGTAACTAATTTCTGAGTGAACTAAGAATCTGACTGATGTTACCATTGTAAAAAATGCAGATGGAGATGGAGATGAAAGATGAAGAGATAAAAATCTGGTTAACCGGAAAAGAAACCAACATTAGACTCCTCCTCTCAACTTTACATCACGTAAGTCACAGAAAACCACAATAAGAAGAACCGGTCTGGGTTGTAAACCGATCACATGTGTATTTATTTTGAATTGGGTTTTGAATTGCTAAACCAAACCGGGAATTATACTTTTTTAGGTTCTTTGGTCAAATAGCAATTGGCATGCGATTCCTTTGGCAAATCTTCGAGATGGATCACAAGTGAAGAAAGCTTACCAAAAAGCTCGGCTTTGTTTACATCCAGATAAACTTCAACAGAGAGGAGGAACTTCACCGCTTCAGAAATCTGTGGCGAGCAGAGTATTCTCCATTCTTCAGGTATTTCAAACCGAACATAAACCGAGATTGGTTCAACCTCTACTATATAAGCTTTAGTTCTTGTTCTAGTCACTAACTCTTAGCTGACTTGTGGATTGTAGGAAGCGTGGGCCGTGTACGTTACCAATGAAGGACTCTCAAGCTAAACCGAAATTCGCAAACAAATATTCTTTCGGTTTGTATTAAACCGGAGGTGTTCAGAATTGGTTTATAATGTAAGAAGAATAAGAAGAGGAAAGTTTGTTTTTTTAATGATTGTAAAAGTCATATGAACATTCCCATGTGTTGCATTTGTTGTGTCTTCCATTGTCAATGTTCTTATTATATACAGAAAACAACAAACTGTTGGAAAACTACTTTAAAGAACGAAATAATGCGTGAATCGAATAGAACCTGGATAAGAAAAAACAAATGAAGTTTTTATATACATACATATATATATATATATAATAGATAGATACAGAGCAAAGCAACATAACTATTGTATTTAAAAAAAACTTAAAAGACATAAAAACACGAAACTATTTGATGTCAAGTTGTCAACTATATCCAAAACTTTTTACGATCATAACCATGATATATTCTCCTTGTTTCTTTTTGTTTGTGAGATATCGGATAAGTCATAAGAGTGTACAGATAGAATCTACATTGATATTTTTGTACAAAAGCTAAAAGAACATTAGTTAGGTTACCATCTAATCTTAGTTCATTATCCCAGCCGAGTGTGACTACGATATAGAGCTTAAAATATATATTTTGAAGCAGCCATATTAGATATTATTTAGATAACAAATGATATTTATATTCATTGTCCAAATGTCTTTATTTTTTATATTAAAATATATGTGTAGTTGATAGTTATATATTATTTACAGTTGATCATTTTCCCCGTCGCGTTTGGTGATTGTCGACCGAACCTCTATGTAATGTAGTGCAACAATTTGAGATGTCTTCGGTTTGATGCATGGTAGATATTTTGGTACTTGTTACAACTTTTTCTTTTATCTCGTTGATCTTTATCTTTTATGTATACACGAATCTTTTCTATTCTTTTGGTCTATTTGTTCCTCTGTTTGCGAAAGTCGTTCATCAAACCCTAAGTAGATCTCTTATAAGCTTATATAAACAGTGACTTGATTACTGTCATCATGTATGTTAGTTTCTATATTTTGTCTATTTCGTCATTTTCCTCATCGACTAATTTTTATATGGTTAGTGGTTTGTCCATATAAGGAGGATCTAGAAATATCCAAAGATATTGTAGATATTATGAGAAGATATTCTAGAAGACGAGACATGATCCCAATACATAGTAACCTAATTACAATGAACTATTCGCTGTATGTGTTTCGGAAGAGATCTCATTTTTCAATATGGTGATGATTAACACTGTATTTATATAGGTATTATTTGGATCATCATTTGATCAATAGTTTTGGGGGTAACACATTTCTACAAATCAAGTAATAAAGCTTACAGTATAACTTTCTACCTCTTAGTTAAGTTTGTTTCTTTATCTATGCTTATTAGTTTCTCAGTGACAAGTGAAACCGAAAGTGTAGAAAATGGCTAAAATGATTTTTCAAATCAACCAAAAATCTGTAAAGCTTTTGCTTGATTCAAGCAAAGATACTCGCACACGCATATGCTATTCACAACATTCCATGGCATCAAAGAAGATTTAAATTATAAGGAAAAAAAATTCACCAATAATACAGTTTCAAACTTTCAGCTTTGCTCCACTTCTTGACGCTTCCTTTGTATAACTTCAAAACCACTCGCAAACCCAGTATAACGAACAAAATCTATCTTTTTTGATAAATAAATAAAAAAAAAACAGCATACACAGACTGTTCCGCGTAATTGTTCGGCATCAAGAAGCAACCACGGCACCATTAGTAGCACCTGAAACTAAAAAGAACCAAAACATGGACTTGTATGATTATATGTTTCTCCATTGTTGCTGTCTCATCTCATCATTAGCTTATCTAACAGATTTATTCAATGAAGAAGCATTACCTTCTGCTCCTTCCTCTTTCTCTTCGTCGATTGTTTTCCAAACAATGTCCTTAAGACCCGTGGTGAGATTCTTGTAAAACTACAAGAAGACCAAGAAACGAGGCAGAAAGACAAAAGATTATTAAATTGTTCAGAACCAGACACACGAGGATAAGAGCATAAGATGCATACCTTGTGGAATTCCAAGGTGTCACCCCCTGATTTTCGCATTTCGACCATATATAGCGATGGAGCAACTTGAAAAACCTGAAAGCAGATGTCAATTAACTTGAGATTAGGGTTCAGCCAACACCGGGTGACATAATACAAAAGTTGATCAATCAAGATCACTGGTCACTAAGAGAGCGAACCTCGGTCGTGACTGCTAACTGACCCTTGCGGCCTGATTTCTCTCCTAGAAGCTTCATCTGGATGAGTCAAGAGATGGTGTAAGGGTTGTAATCATAAGCACCAAATGAATAAATACAAATTTTCACGGCACGAGTGAATATGAAAAACAGTATTCCAAACCTTGTAGTTATTTTTCTTGACATCAAACCCCATAGGTGCTGCTGCGGCCTCAATTTTTGTGACTATTTCATTAGCCGGACATTTGGAAGTGAATTGAGTTTTTCGTTTAACAAGCCCCTGTAATCAAAAAATTGCTTATCACTAAGAATGACTACTTCCACTAAACCAAATACGTGAATAATTATTGGTGACTAAAAAAGCTACTTCTCATAAAGTATTGACCAATCCCCAAAAACTCTGTACCATTTGTTTCTCGAAAAGTGAACCGAGATTGAGACCCTGGGATGTCGAGATGAGCTCAAAAGCATTCATAGTTACTGGTGTTTTAAGTCCTTCTTCCCGCCTCTCAACAACAAGGTTCTTAGACTCCTATGAACCAACAGAAACAAGCTAAGTGATCATCCAAGACAAAGTTCATACAAATTTGGTAAATTAACCAAAAACCTTAAGCCTTACCCCTGATTCATCGAAAATCGCATCAACATCATCAAGGCTGACGTTAGCATTCTCAAATTTAGGTGCTTTATACCCTTTATTGAACCATTCATTCTGAATGACTTCAGCAAATGTAATCCTCTGTCCAATATACAAAAAAAAACAGTGAGATGACTTCAGAGATCTACTACTCAATCCTTAGACGCTTTTGCAAAGGAGACCTCCTCAAATATAAAAGCGTAAGAAAAATATACCGTCGCTGGACTGGGATCCAGGATCCTTTTGATTAACTTTTTAGCACTTGCAGAGAACCAGGGAGGGCATGTAAATTCGGCTTTGAATATCTGTAGCCATAAAGAAATAAGAATCAGGTGGCATTTTACGCTATATACACCCAAATCACGCCTTGCTACAAATCTAAAATCAAACGAAGAAGAAGAAAAGCGTAACACCTTTTTGTATAACGACGTTAGGTTAGAATCTTCAAAAGGCAAATATCCAGCCATCAAGACAAAGAGAATCACACCACAAGACCACAAATCAGCCTGTGCTCCATCGTAACCTTTGTTGTTGATTACCTAAGAGAGACAAAAAAAAAAATTGTTATTAAGACCAGAAAAGAGCTTCAAGTTTCAAGCTTCAAGACAATTGAGTTTCAATTTACAAGTAGAGAAGTAAACAATACCTCCGGAGCAACATAATTGGGCGTTCCACATGTTGTGTGAAGTAATCCATCCTCCTATAAGAAGAAGGCTCACAAAATTAGCTTTGATGAAACTCACTGAAAACTTTCTTTTTAGGGGCCATAGTAGCTGAATTATCATGCTATGACAATATATCAATGCTCACTCGGACTTGCTGAGGTAGAGCACTCAATCCAAAGTCAGACACTTTCAGAGCACCATTTGCATCCAAAAGCAAATTCTCTGGCTGCAACAAGAAGGAGCAACTCTCTTTAAGGTCTCTGACATCGACTCATTCACAAGAAGTCAATCCTAAGACCACAAAATAAGATTCCTGACCTTAAGGTCTCTGTGATAAACTCCTCTGCTATGGCAATAGTCCACAGCATTAATAAGCTGTTGGAAGTACTTCCTGGCTTCATCTTCCTTTAATCTCCCATTGCTTGACTAATACATATATGAAAATTTCCAGAGAATCAAGTCTTTCACTCGTGATGATCTCATTGCTACTACATAAGTAAAACCATCTCTTCAGTGAGATTGAAAGCTTACAATTTTATCGAAAAGCTCTCCACCAGTAACGAACTCCAAAACAAAGTAGATCTTAGTTTTGCTTGCCATCACCTGAAGAAGAGAGAATCAGTAAACTAACAAAGATAACCAAAAACAATACCATAGAATAATATTATTATACACACATGATTGTCCAGGGACCACACCTTCAAAAGAATCTCAGATTAACATAGGAATCTAGAACAACAGAAACAATTAAGCTCATAGATTCTAAACATGCAAGCAACACGAGTAATAAGAAGGAAGAAAGTTTTTAGATCAAAAACCTCAAACATACGGATCACATTCGGGTGCTTGATGAGTTTCATCGTCGAAATCTCACGCTTGATCTACAAGAAAAACAAGACCAAATCGAAGTCAAAACATCTTCATAAATCCCCAAAAGAACACAGCAGCGGATTCATATATATATAGATACCTGAGCGATCATCTTGTTCTTCAAAACTTTCTCTTTGTCAATCACTTTAATGGCCACATTCTCTCCATTCTCAACATTCCTCGCGAACTTGACCTTAGCGAAGGTTCCTTCACCCAGAGTTCTTCCCAGCTCGTACTTACCCACTCGGGTCCTACCCGAACTACCTGAAGCCCCAGAAGGCGCCGATCGAGAAGGAGTCGATCGCGAAGGTGTTGTTCGAGAAGCCATCTCTCTCTCTCTCTCTCGCTGATGATTAGATTCGTTCTCGATACAGATACAATAGATCCACTAGTGATTCTCCTTCAGGATCTCTTCTTCTTGCATGGCTGCCATACCTGGGATTTCGCAACGCTCATGTTTGTGTTTTATCCTCTGAGATCTGCAGAAGAAAAACCCTAAGACCGGAGACCCGAAAACCCGCCTCCCAAACGGAATTTCAACTCTCGTGGGCGGAGAATATTCAAATCGAACGAAGAAGACGAAAACTTCAAAAATATTTAAAATAAAAATCCAAATTTGGAGTGAACGGAGTCAGTACGGGATTGGGAAAAAGGGGAAAATTTCTGACAAATCTCTCAAATTCGGCTGAAAGTTTTTATATGCTGCAAGAAAATCGAAGCCGATTGATAGAAACAGAAAAAAAAGGGCGGAGAAGAGAGAAGGAAAGGGGAACTCTCTGATTCGACGGAGGAAGGAATTTAAGTTAAACTTTTTTGATTAATTTAACTTTGATTAATTAATTTACAAGCGTTATTTTAAATTCTGCTTATGGGTTTATACGAGGAAGGTATTATCTCTCTCTCATTCTGACGTCTGCAATAGTTACTTAAAATATAGTATGATAAAAATATTTTTCGTATATGATACTACTATATAACAATATTTGAGTTGACAAAGAAAAATGTACAAAAATGTATATACAAAGGTCCAGTATGTGAGGTTTTCAATAGAAAATATATATATTTGGGGTTTTCTTTTTGGACTTTTTTCTGGGGTGAAATTTTCTGTTTAGACTAGATGTGCCGACAGAAATAAAATTAGATCATGGAATATACTATTATATAAACTTCAAAAAAGAAAAGAATATACTATTATATTGTTTGACATAACCTACTACCATACCGTTATACGTGCTTAAATCCGGTATTTGAACCTTAATCTTTCGTCATTAATTATTGTTTTCGATTATACAAATGATTTAATCCTTTGTTATATGAACATCAGAGATTCAGAATATGATCCTTAAAAAAACTATAGTTTTAGATAATTTATCCTGCAATCATACTCCGAGATTCCAAACATATAGCTAAACGTAAGAAAATCCTTTGTTTTAAAATGTTCCAATTGAACTTTTGATGTTATGGAAAAGCCAGTATCAAGGAGCCACGAGCCCTTTTCAAAAAGGGACATTTATTGTATCGGTTTCTTGGTTTTTTTATTCGAGAACATATTTTACCAAATTTAAATCAAGATGGCAACATGACAAATTGACAATATTCATGCAATTATTGGGTTACAAGCTTCGATTTAAATGTTTAAAAAGTCTTCTGTCTAGATTTTTGTTTTTGTATATATGTTTTCAATATGTAAATAATAATCTTTATAAAAGGCTATCAGAAGCTGTTCAGTTGATACAAGATACGACGAGGTTCTAGTCAAATGCTTTGCTATAGACTCTCATTTCTTTCTTAAAAGTTCAACTTTTTAGTTGCATTTGATGTAAAACAGATTTTTTTTTGTTTGAATAATCTAACATTTTCTTCAAAAAAGAAAAAGATAAAAAAAAAGCAGCTGTTCAGTTTAGACTTTAGATAATACGATTAAATATATTTATGTACAAGCACAATAATATTGTGAAAGTAAACCCTAGATTTAATATGAGATATGTGAAGCCTACCGATTTAGATTAGAAATTGACTAAGATGAAGTCTCATCCAATCCAAATATTACTGACAAATATATGATCGCGTAAATGAGTTAACTTTCAAATTAACTTTCTTTACATTGTCAAGAGATGACCTTACAGTTTGTTTCTAATTTTATTAATGCTCATCAAGGAGAAGAAAGAACATATATACTAATATAGAATATAAGTTTGATAAATCTTGTGGGTTAGTTTGGGTTGAATTGTCTACCCTCTGAAAATAGTTTAACTGATGTAGAAAATTAGAAATGTAGAATAATTAGTTTTTTTTTGGTCCAAATCTTGAGGGAGAAATGTAGATCCATGAACCTGCCACGTTTTCTCGGAAGTTTTGACTTTGATATTTCTAATCTGATACATACTTTTTTCTTTTAGAAAAGCATAGCTTTGTTGTTTTGTTTTGTTTTTTTTTTTAATTCTTATCAAAATGAATAGTAGTATATTCATTCCCCTATCAGTCATTATTAAATTTGACATCGAAAACAAAATAATACCGACCCACGAGTCCGTGTTTTAAAATTGCGATGACCGCAAATAGATAACGAAATTAACTTTCTAAGTTACAGAGCAATCATGATCGAGTGTACTCCAATGGAAACTTTGCTGATAACTTTGCACATAGTTATATTTTCTTAGATTAAAACGGTATATATATACTGTTTTAGATTAATACTAATATATTGTTGATAAAATGAACTAATACAGATCCGAGCGGTACGTAGGATTAAGTACATTTTAAATACAACATAATATTAAACAATTTAGTTTGTCAAGAGATAGTGACATGTTTTTTTTTTTTTTAAAACTAAAACTTCTTCTAGATTGATCCCCACTCTGATCACATATATAAATATAAGATAATACTATAAATTAGATCATTGATTTTAACATCTTTTGGTTCAATATTTCATTATACTTTTAAAACATAAACAAGTACATTGTCTTACTTTTTTTTTGACATAGACAAAATTCTACAACGTCTTGTGTGTGTAACCTCAATTCACTAAGCTCAAAGAAGAAGGTGAACACCATTTCTTTTCATTTTTTCTTTTAAAGTTTTACTTTCTTATTTATACGTATATTATATATATATATAAAATATTAATTTACAGCTGATGTATATATCAATCAGTCTTTCATTTATAAAAAAATCACAAATAAAATTCTACAGACAAGAAGGTGAACACCATTTCTATTAATCAATATATAGTAGTATAAACTCTTAAAGAGCATACATATCTAAATCAATAGAATCGGTTACAGAATGTATACGTTTATAACAATTTAAAACATACTCGTTAATCATAATAATTTTTGAATTAAATCTCCAACAATCTAACAAACACAGAGGAAGGAATATATAGATGGTTTCCTTTTTCTACAACACAAAACTATAGAGTTTTATCTTTCACATGGACCTGCGCGGACACGCAGGTATATGATTATTGAAATAAATTTTATAAATATTCAAATTATATAGTATAAGATGGATTATTATATAAATTATGTTATTTTAATAATTAAATAAATTAAGTTTTCAAGTAAATAAATATAACTATTTATCATTTGTATATATAATTATGAGTAGTTAAATAATTTTTTTTTACACTCAAAATATATTTGTCAAATATTTTAAATTAGATAAAAAATTGGTGATTTATTTTTAATAAATTATATTTTTTGTTGATCGAGATAATTATCGACTATGCAAATGTATGCGCATCCAATATGTTTATTTTACAGTTATATTAATAATAGATTATTTTTTGTGTTATAAAAATTAAATTAATTTTTTAAGTATAAAAATATTAAGTTAAAAATAAAATAACATAAGTTACATGTAACTTATTCAAATATGTTATAACTGTAGATACACGAGTTGTTATTGTAAAAGTTTATATATCTTTAATATTATATTTAGTTTTTTTATCTCCTTCTTCTTTCTATTCTTTGTTGTTCTTTTTTTTTAATTCTTATACTCTGTTTTTCTTTTTTGTTTTTATTTTCTTTGTTTTTCTCCGTTCTTTTTTTTCTTCTTCTCCATTCTTTTTCTTCTTCCTCTTCTTCATCATTCTTCTTTTGTGTTCTTCTTTTTTTCTGTATGTTGTTATTGTTTTTTTGTTTTTCTTCTCCTTTATCTTTTTTGTTTCTTATTCTTCTCTATCTTTCATTTTCTTCATGTATATTTTTCTCTTTTTTCCGTTTTTTGTTTCTTTCATCTTCTTTTTTTTCTATATTCTTCTCTTTTTCTCCGTTCTTTTATTTCTTCATCTTATATGTTCCTTTCCCTTTTTCTATGTTCTTTTTCCTTCTTCTTTTTTTTTAAAAAAAAATAATCTAACCATATTAACTAATTTGCTCAGGTTTTATTTTACTGTTGTTTTCCAAACTCAACTTCTATATTTATTTGTTGGGCAATTCAATTGAAAGAAGAATTTAATTTTTGACATCTTAATTCTTTTTATAATTCAGTTATATGAATAAGAGTATATATTAGTTAGTTGTATATTTTTGTTCTTCTTCTTTCTATTTTCCATTTTCTGTTATTTTTTCTCCTTCTTTTTCCTTTGCCTGGGCTAATATTTTTGTATTTGGTTTTATTTTTTTATTATTTTTTATCTTCTCTATGGTTCTTCTTCATCACTTCTCCTTCGTTTTATTTCTTTTTCTTCATCCCTTCTGCTCCTTCGTTCCATTTTCCTTCTTCATCACTACTTATCCTTCTTCACCTTTTCTTCTCTGTTTTTTTCTCCTTATTCTTTTTTGTTGTTATTCTTTTTCATCCGCTCTTATTCTCATTCATCTCTTCTCTTTATTCTCCTACTTATTTTCTTTCTTCTTAATCCCTTTTTCTTCTCCTCATTCATCTATTTTTGTTCTCCTCATTATCCTTTTTTCTCCTTCGTTTTTCTTATTCTCTATTCTTCTCCTTCTTTTTTTTTCTTTTTTGGATTACCAAGAGGTTCTAGACTGAAGCTTGCAATCTCTCCAAGCCCGAAATCACATCATGTAATATTAGTTTTGTCCCAAGCGTCACTCGATCAAGTGACCCCTAAGCTTTTTCTAGGATCTTTTACCAGTCGAGCTAACAACACTTGTTACTCATTCGTCTTCTCCTCCATCCTTTCTTCTATGTTATTCGATATTCTCCTTCATCCCCTCTTTTTTCTTTGTCCCTTCTTCTTATTTTTCTACTCTTTCATGTCTTCTTCTTCTTCATCCATTTCTCCATTCTTCTTTTCTGTTTTTTTTTTTTTATCTTCTCCGTATTTTTAAATTTATTTGCCTATAAACATATGTGTTTGGTTTATTATATTATTGCATACTAATAAGAATGTGATTATTGTTTTTGTAATATTTTTTTTGCAATATCTTTTATACTGTGAATTTATATAATTTTATTAGATATATTTATAGCAATTATAATTGTTATTTGCTTATAAATATATTTGTTTGTCCTATTATATTGTTGCATTATAATAGATTGTTATTTGCTTATAAACATATTTCGTTAGCCTATATATGAAAAATATGTTTTTGTTATTTTTTTGCTAAATGCTTTATATGTATAAATATTTATAATTTAATCTTATACATATATAGTAATTATAATTTTCATTTCGTTTTATATAGTTTGGATGTAATTAATTTTAAGATTAATTAGAATTTTCGAAATAATTATTTATAGAAATATTTAAATTATTTAAATGTGTTTGGTAATTGGAGTTAAACTAATCTAAATAATATCTGAAAATCAATATGTTTGGTAATAGGTATATAAGAATTAAAAAAAAAGAAAAAAGAAAATAAAAATTAATTGTTTGTATTAACAAATGACTAAACTACCATTAATGAAATTTTAAGAAAAAAGTTAAAATGCAATAGCATTTCATGTAATATAACACATGATTTATGTTTAAATATTTTTAAGTGTTCCTCTTTTAATGGTATGGATGTGCGTGTTGCATGTGTTCATCGTTTGTTTGTATTGTTCAATGTACACCATTAATTTAACCCCGTCTCTATCTATACTAAATAAAAGGAACTATTTGGGGCTCCTTAAGCTATCCACCTCAGCTTTTCAAACTACTCTAAAAGTATGACACATCAGCAAAAAATAATAATACAAATTCCCACTTTAGATTTTTTTGGAGTACACATAAAGTAAATAAATAGAACCAAAATTAATATAATTAAATACAAGAGTAAATAAAAATAAATTATTATTTTTTGAATCAGTAAAATAAATATTATTTAAATCTATAGCATCAATATATACTCTTTTGTTTGTAATATAACAAATTAACAATAATGAAAATTCTCACTTTAATTTTTTTGAAATACACATAAAATAAATAAATAATACCATTAAATTAATATAGTTATTAGCAAAAACTAAATAAAATTATATATCATTTTAACCAGTAAAATAAATATCATTTAAATCTGTAGCATTAATATATACTCATTTTTGTCACTAAAATTAATATAGTTACCAACAAAAATAAATAAAATTAAAATATTATTTTTTGAATCAGTAAAATAAACATCATTTAAATTTATAGCATCAATATATACTTCTTTTGTTTGTAATATAACAATAATAAAAAAATTCACTTTATATCTTTTGAAATACACATAAAATAAATAAATAGAACCACTAAGTTAATATAATTATTAGGAATAAGTAAATAAAACTAAATATCATTTTCTAAATCAGTAAAATAAATATCATTTAAATCTCTAGCATTAATATATACTCCTTTTTGTAATATAGTGAATATATTGGACAACAAATTGCTCTAAAAAATTTAAATAATAGTTAATAGAAACAAAATTACAAAATAATAATTTCTAAAATAAAATTTAAAACATTTGCAAATTATAAAAATCTAAAATATTCACTTTTTAGAAACATACAGATTAAACATCATAGTACGTTAGATTTATGGCAACCAACAAGACAAAATAAATTATAGGAAGCTTTTCAAAGCATCTATCTATATGAAGATTTCGATCATTGTTACTATTTACATTGCAGAAAATGATAGACAAAAAAAGAATTTCATGCACTGATATTTATTCAATGTGTGTCTTAGTTGGCTTAAGGTAGTCAAGATACTACAAGCGATACATGTCAACACATGAGTTAAACAGCTTATAAACAAAAATTAAGTTTTAAATGACAGTTAATTTTTATATATATCAAGTTAGTAAATTCTTAAATTAAATAATTATGCATTTTTGAAAAATTAACATACACATTTTTATGTAGAAGAAAATGTCTAAAAAAATCTTTAATTATCCATATCAACAAAATTCCTTATAAACCCAACTTGAATGAAAAACTAATATAGTTTTTTTACTGGGTTAAAAAACTCCTTTAAAAATAATATAATATATATTATTAGTTTAATTATAAAGGTTCATCAAAATATATATGTGTAGTTTAAGAAAAAATGTTTAAGTTAAATTACAAGCAAAATTTTTTACATCTTTTGAGTTTTGAGAAACTCAACATACTTTATTTAACATAATGAGTTAATATGAAATTGTATTTGTATATGTATTATTTGTCTTATTCATCTATATTTTTTTTTATAGTTTACGTATACTTCATAGACCAAATCAAAATTTCATTTTATCAATATGATTGTGATTTTTTATACTATGTAAATATTGTTTTTATTTATATGAATCATAGTTATTTTATAGATTTATAAGAGATTAGAACATTGAGTGTTGTTTGTATTTGAGATTGCTAATTAAATAAAAACACTACACGAACACAGTTGAAATAAAAATAAAAATCTAAATTAATTAGAACAATAATAATCAAATTTAGTCAAAACAAAAATAATTTTAATAATATTTTGAAAGTTAGTAGTGAATAACAATGAGTTTATATACAAATATTAAGTTTTAGATTAACAGTTAATTTTAGTATATCAAGTAGCTAATTCTTAAAATTATACATTTTTTGAATATGTTAAAATATTTTCGATGTATAATCATATCAAAAAAATTTTAAAAATTAAATATTATATTTAAAATATTAACTTAAAGTGAAAATAATAAAACTTAAATAATAATCAAATATTTATATAAAAACAGTCTGCGCGTAACGCGGAAACATCCCTAGTATATATATAAAGTAAGCTTTTCTCTCTTCTGGTGCTGCCACCTCAGCAACTACATCATTAATTCTTTTTTATTTAAATTCTTTTAAACCACAAAATAACAATAACATTCAATATAAAACATATAAAAAATAAAAAGATAATTATAATATATTGTCAGAAAATAAAATAAAATATAAAAAATAATTATATACATTAGCTTTGAATATTTCAAGATTGAAAACCAAAATTTTATAAGTGTGTGATGGGAATTGGTAATTAGAAAGACAGAAAATAATAAAAATTAACATTAATATTCGATATAAAAAAATAACAAACATAAAAATACAATTATAATGTGTTGTCAGAAAATAAAAATCAACAAAGTACAAAATAGCAAAATAAAAAAATAATGACATACATTAGCTCTGAGTATTTCATGATTCAAGAAAAAAATTTACGAGTGTGAGACGGGAATTGGTAATTAGAAAGGCAGAAAATCATGAAAATTAATATTAACAATCAATGTAAAAAATAGCAAACATAAAAAGACAATTATAATATATTGTCAGAAAATAAAAGATCAACAAAATGCTATAAAAAAATAATGATATACACTAGCTCTCAGTATTGCAAGATTCAACGCATAAATTTACGTCTGTGTAACATAATTGGTAATTAGAAAGATGGAAAATAATAAAAATTAATATTAACATTCAATATAAAAAAATAGCATAAAATAAATAATGTGTTATCAGAAAATAAAAAATCAACAAAATACAATATAATAAACCAATAAATATTGATATACATTAGCTGTGACTATTTCATGATTCAAGGCAGAAATTTATGAGTGTGTGACGGACATTGATAATTAAAAAGACGGAAAATTAATATTAAAATTCAATATAAAAACAGCAAACATAAAACTTCAAATTATAATGTGTTGTCAAAAAATAAAAAATAAACAAAATACAAAATACAAATTAATAATAACAATGATATACATTAGCTTTGAGTATTTAAAGATTAAAAGCGGAAATTTATGAAAGTGTGATGGGAATTGGTAATTAGAAAGACGGAAAACAATTTCTAAAGAAAATCTAACAAAAATGGAATAGAAAATTTGGGTAACGAGATGGGTTCGAGAAATTGCATTATCGAAAATCTATTTACAAATTTTCAATATTTTGAATGAAAGTCAACTTCGAAAAAGTATTTTGGAAAAATTTTGAAAAGTCAAAGAAATTTTTTAAAAATATATAATTTTAAAATATTAATTCTTAAACAGATAATTTGGATATCTAATATCATACATGTTCTCTTTTCTTATCTGTTTAAGTAAATCAAATAATCTTGAATGAATATATTTGATCGAAATTGAGATAAGACAAAAAAATTCAAGATGAATACATTGAAAAAAAATAAACAACCTCAAAATATCCAAATTCACGTGTTGCGCGAATCACAAACTAGAAATTAAAAAAAAAAATCAAAGAGATACATGTGAGAAACAGAAATTCATCTTAAAATTCTCAAGAATATACGATACAATAAATTTTTTAAAAAATGTATAAAAATGAATCACATAGCCGCGCGTAGCGCGGATAACCAACTAGTTATATGATTATATGATAAGAACACAAAATCATCGAAGGGCAAGTGTAGATCCAGAAACTTGCCACGTTTTCTAAGAAGACTTAGATAATTTATAATTTATTGTGTGATTCAATTTGTAAAAAAAACTTCTGGATTAAATGGTATATAACTTTTTCACGTTTTTACGTTTTAAAAACATGATTTCATTAAATACATACCATTTACAATATTAAATACTGAATGATAAAATATAAAAATTAATACGTTATTTTTTCAATTTATATCACGCACGTTTTAAATTTATAACTAGTTTTGAGAAAAAAACAATTCATCTAATAGATCTTAGTTTTTTAGCGTTTTGAGTTTATTTAGTTTTCGGTTTACCTGTCCAATTAATTCTGCTAATTTATTATTTAGCTATTCTGTTATTCAGCTATTAAATTGATATATCAGTCAAGTCCGTATTATTTTTTTTTTTCAAGAAACTTATTGTTTTTTTACTATGAAAATTAAGTGAAAGGAATAAAGTATTCAAGTGGAAGTTTCTATCATTTGCTTTCCTCTTCTTGTAAGCTGATTTGTTTTGGACACAACCTCACCCGAACAAAACCGATCAGTTTTGAACTTTAATGATTTAACGATTAATATTCCCTTTCAGCATTAACCAACCTCGAATCGAAGAAAAGTAACCCATCGGTATAAGTATGAAACCCTAGTTTCATCGGTATAAGTATGAAACCCTACTTTCATTAGTCTTTCGGTTTCTTTTTCTCAAATGCTTCTCGTCTGCGTTTTGGAGTGTTTCGGAAGGAACGAATCTGAAGGATTTACACAAAAGCAAAGCAGTCGTTGTAGAAAAATGGACCAAAAAGGTTGGTTTCTCTGTCTCAGTTATGTCTTTTCTCTGCGTCCATCATCCTCTATGAACTGTAAAGCTTCAAACCCTAACTCTAAATCTTTCCTTCTATGATTTTAGTGGTGAAAGTTTGGCAAAGCGAGGTGCTGTGATCGAGGACAGGATCAGTGACTTGCCTGAACATCTGATTCTGCAGATATTGTCTTTACTCCCAACAAAACTTGTCATAGCCACAAGTGTTTTGTCTAAGCAATGGCGCTCTGTTTGGAAAATGGTGCCGATTCTCCAGTTCGAATCTAAAAGGAACATACGGAAGTTTTCAGAGGATGTTTGCAAGTCTCTGCTTTCGCATAAAGCTCCGGTTTTGGAGAGTTTGCATCTGAATGTCAACGAGAATTGTGAGGATGTGTATATCGGAATATGGGCTGCAATTGCAATCACACGCCATGTCCGTGAGTTGTTGCTCCATCTTAGATTTTCTTATGTGAAACCAGTCAGATTCCCGAGTAGCTTGTTTTGTTTTGAAGACCTTGAAACTCAAAGATTGCGTTCTTATAGATATTCCTTCTAAGGTTCCTGTTGGGTTTTGGTGATGGAAGATCATTCTATTTCGGGCTTGAACCGGGACTGGTTAAGTCGAAGTGAAGTGGCTGGTTATTAGTTTCTTCTTGGTTTACGGTTTAGTAAATAACTGAAGTAATCCTTTTGTAATTAGTCTGAGTATATAGCTAAGGCGTGAATGATATATAGCTAAGGCGTGAATGATATCTCTCTCAGATCGGTGATTAGAGTTGTAACTGAGAGAGAACGGTGAATCTTGTAATCGGAAAAGATAGTGGATTGCCGGAGATTCTCCAGGCCGAGACGTAGGGTTTCACATTCCGTAAATCTGAACTCGTAAAATTTTCTTGTGTCGATTCATTTTCTGTTCGTGTATTTCATTCAGCTCAAATTCATCATCTTTATCTTCCTTGTGAGTGTTTGAGAGATCGAGAGTTTCTTTACAAAGGTACAAATCGGAGTTTCATTCTCTACAAGTGGTATCAGAGCTTCGTTGAAGCGATGAGCGAAGCGATGGCAAAAGTTACAGTCGCCGAGTTCGATGATACTGGAGATTTCTCAATGTGGAAGAAGAGGATGCTCGTGCATCTATCGCTCATGGGACTCAAAGACGTTCTAATTGAATCGATCCCTGAAGCAAAGGCGATGAAAAAGGGTGAAGATCCAGAGGCTTACAAGGATCGACTACAACTCGAAGAGATCAACAGGCTCAAGCGAGCTGAGAGGGCCATGAATATGTTAGTTCTGAATCTTTCGGATCAAGTTCTGAGAAAGCTAGAAGAGTATACGACAGCGAGTGATATCTGGGCAGCTCTTGAAAGGCTGTACAACGTGCAAACGCTTCCGAAATACATCTTCAGCACAAGTTCTACACCTTCAAGATGACTGATGCGAAGTCCATTGATCTGAATATCGACGATTTCTTGAAGCTTGTATCAGGCTTGAGCAGTGTGAAGGTCGTCGTTACAGAGGAGGTTCAAGCCATATTGCTATTGAACTCGTTACCAGCTGCGTATAGCTCTCTAAAGGAGACGTTGAAATACGGAAGAGAGACTCTAACCATCGAGTCAGTTACGAATGCAGCGAAGTCAAAGGAGATTGAGCTAAGGGAGGTTAAAGATCTCATTAACTCTCAGAAGGGTGGAGAAGCTCTCGCTGCTCGTGGAAGATCAGAAAGAAGAGAATCCGGATATAGGAAGGGAAAGAGGAGATCAAGATCAAGCTCTAATTCTAAGGTAACTTGCTGGTACTGCAAGAAGGAGGGACACAAGAAAGCCGATTGTTTTGCTCGGAAAAGGAAGATGGAATCTGATGAGGGTGCAGAAGCAGCCGTGGTGATAGATGCATTACAGGACAACAATGCACTGACGGCTTCAGGGGACTGGCACCAAGACAAGTGGATCATATACTCGGGATGCTCTTATCACATGACATCAAGACGAGACTGGTTCAACGAGTTTGAGGAAGTGACGTTTGGGAAGATTCTTCTAGGAGACGATTTCTCAGTGGAGGTCAAGGGCATCGACTCTATAAACATCAAATCGTATGGAGGCACAGTTAAGACTCTGTCCAATGTCAGGTATGTTCTTAAACTAAAACGGAACCTTCTCTCGACTGGAACAATGGATAGACTAGGCTTTGATCATGCTGGTGGAAGTGGTAAGACTAGGTTCTATAAGAACAAGAAATTAGCTCTTCAGGGTACTCTCGTTGGAACCTTGTATCTGTTGGATGGTGAAACTGTAACAGGTGAGACTAACAGCAACGTCTCCAAGAAGTTGGCAAATGACGAGACAGTTCTATGGCACAGACGTCTCGGGCATATGAGTCTGAAAAACTTGCGAATCCTAGCTCAGAAAGGGATTATTGACAAGCGAAGAATTGGAGATATGAGCTTCTGTGAGAGCTGTGTGATGGGAAAACATAAGAAGACTAGTTTTTCTATCGGGAAGCACAACACAGGAGAAGCACTCAAGTACATCCACTCGGATCTCTGGGGTTCTCCAAATGTCACACCGAGTATGTCTGGAAAGACTTACTTTCTGTCTATGATAGACGATTTCACGAGGAAGGTGTGGGTATTCTTTTTGTCAGCGAAGAGTGAAGCTTTTGAAAAGTTTGTTGAGTGGAAGAAACTGGTTGAGAATCAATTCAGTAAGAAAGTGAAGTGTCTGCGAACTGACAATGGTTTGGAGTTCTGCAACACTGAGTTTGATAACTTCTGTAAACATCACGGGATTGAAAGACATCGTACCTGTGCTTACACCCCTCAGCAAAACGGTGTAGCTGAACGTATGAACAGAACCATAATGGAGAAGGTTCGTTGTATTTTAGACGAAAGTGGTCTCGAAGAGGTGTTTTGGGCTGAAGCAGTATCTACTGCTGTTTATCAGATCAACAGGAGTCCATCGTCAGCCATTGACAGCAACATTCCAGAAGAGCTCTGGCTCGGAAAGAAGCCTGGGTACAAACACCTTAGAAGATTCGGGTCAGTCGTATACGTTCACAAGGATCAAGGGAAGTTGAAACCGAGAGCTTCAAAACGCATTTTCTTGAGCTATCCACCTGGAGTCAAAGGTTACAAGATTTGGCTACTAGAAGAAGAGAAGTGTGTAATCACTCGGAATGTCAAATTTGTAGAAGATCAGGTCTACAAAGACTTAAAGGACAGCAAATGTGAGAAGAGCTCAGAGACTGACAAAGGGATTAACAGTAAGATCAAGACTGTGATAGATCTACGAGTCAGCGCAGAGAATCAAGAAAAGAATACATCCTCAGGTGGAGAAACAGAGACAGGATCTGTATACATCAGTGATTCAGAGTCTGATGAAGAAGCAACAGATGTTGAGAGTGTTCCTAGTCCAGTCCAGCGTAGCAGTCATCAGGTAGTCAGGGAGATACCGAACAGAAAGACCACTCTTCCTGCCAAGTTTAACGACTACGACATGTCTTCCTTTGCGTTCATAGCAGCAGCAGAGATAAGCTCAGAGGATCCGAGAGATTACCAAGAAGCTATGAGTAGCAAAGAGAAAGACTTGTGGGATGGAGGAATGGACGAAGAAATGGATTCTCTGGAGAAGAATAAAACTTGGAGATTAGTTGAGAGGCCTACAAACAGGAAGGTCATAGGCTGTAAATGGGTCTACAGACTGAAACCAGGAATACCTGGAGTGGAGAAGCCAAGGTATAAAGCTCGGTTGGTAGCAAAAGGTTACTCACAGAAAGAGGGTATCGACTATCAATAAGTGTTCTCCCCTGTAGTGAAGCACGTTTCCATTAGGTTTTTGTTGTCTATAACAGTCAATCAAGACCTCGAGCTCGAGCAGCTGGATGTGAAGACAGCTTTTCTCCACGGTCTTATAGAAGAGGAAATCTACATGGAGCAACCAGAGGGCTACGAGGTTAAGGGAAAAGAGAAGCAAGTCTGCTTACTGGAGAAGGCTCTTTACGGGCTAAAGCAAGCACCGAGGCAGTGGAACAAGTGTTTTGATCAGTATGTGGTCAGTCTTGGGTTCGAGAGAAGCAAATTCGATCACTGCGTGTACATCAAAAGGGGAAAAGGTGGAGGACTTGTCTATCTACTACTATACATAGATGATATGCTTGTGGCTTCAAAGGAAATGGATGAGGTTAATCTTGTCAAGAGTCTGCTGAGTGAACGTTTCGAGATGAAAGATCTAGGTCTCGCGAGTAGGATCCTTGGCATGGATATTCACAGGGACAGAGTGAATGGTGTATTGACGTTATCTCAGTCCAGTTATGTAAAGAAGACTCTCCAGGTGTTCAACATGGTTGAGTCAAGATCAGTTTCGACACCTATTGGGTCTCACTTCAAATTGTCAGCAATAAATGATGATGAAGAGGAGACAGTTATGGATGATGTGCCGTATGCTAATGCTATCGGGAGCATTATGTATGCAATGATTGGCACTCGTTGCGATTTGGCATATGCAGTGGGATTAGTCAGCAGGTACATGAGTAAGCCGAGTATGGTGCACTGGACTGCAGTTAAATGGGTTTTGAGATATTTGAAAGGAACACAAGACTTGAAGCTAGTGTTTAAGAAGAATGAAGAGTTCAAAGTAGAAGGGTTTTGTGACTCTGATTTTGCTTCAGACTTGGACAGAAGAAGATCTATATCAGGCTACGTTTTCACAGCTGGTGGAAATGCAATCAGCTGGAAGTCAAGTCTTCAACATGTGGTCACTTTGTCAACAACAGAAGCGGAGTATATGGCACTTGTTGAAGCAGTAAAGGAAGGGATCTGGCTTAAAGGGTTAGCAGAGGAGTTCGGTTTTCAGCAAGATTCGGTTGATATATGGTGTGATTCTCAAAGTGCTCTATGTTTAGCGAAGAATAATGTTCATCATGAGAGGACAAAGCACATCAGTAGAAAGCTGCATTTCATTAGAGACATAGTTGCTGAAGGAGAAGTAAAGCTGAAGAAGATTTGCACGTCTAAGAATCCAGCTGATATATTAACCAAAGTGCTTCCCGTCGATAAGTTTGAGAAGGCCTTGAGCTTTCTCGGTTTAGCTCAGCACTAAGGTGCTTGGAGTTGCCTGGAGATGTTCACGTTTACTGGGTTGCTTAGCAGAACAGAGTTGATCGTCATCAAGGTGGAGTTTGTTGGGCTTTGGTGATGGAAGATTATTCTGTTTCGGGCTTGAACCGGGACTGGTTAAGTCCAATTGAAGTGACTGATTATTAGCTTCCTCTTGGTTTACGGTTTAGTAAATAACCGAAGTAATCCTTTTGTAATTAGCTTGAATATATAGCTAAGGCGTGAATGATATCTCTCTCAGATCGGTGATTAGAGTTGTAACTAAGAGAGAACGGTGAATCTTGTAATCGGAAAAGATAGTGGATTACCGGAGATTCTCCAGGCCGAGACGTAGGGTTTCACATTCCGTGAACCTGAACTCGTAAAATTCTCTTGTGTCGATTCATTTTCTGTTCGTGTATTTCATTCAGCTCAAATTCATCATCTTTATCTTCCTTATGAGTGTTTGAGAGATCGAGAGTTTCTTTACAAAGGTACAAATCGGAGTTTCATTCTCTACAGTTCCTATGAAGTCACTTAGAACCCTTCACTTTCATGATGTGGTGTACAAAGACAGTGAATCTGTTCGTAACCTTTTCTGTAGCTGCCCGAATCTTGAACATTTGGTCTTGCATCGAGTTTACTCCCATGGTGTTGAACTGAACTTCGTTATTGAGGCGCCGTCATTGAAGACACTATCGCTTTACGGTAAGAGCTATGGCCAAAAGGATGATGAATATGTGATAAACGCTCCTTCTTTGAAATACTTGAGTATTGAATGGTTGCAAAGTTGCGACTTTTTTCTGATTGAGAATGCGTCCGAGCTAGTCGAGGCAGATGTTCGAAACGTCTCTGCTGTAGCCAATGAGACGATTTTGGGATCTCTCAGCTCAGCCAAACGTCTTTACTTGGACTTATCACCTTTGCAGGTAACTTAAAGTTGACTTATTAGTTGTTGTTCCCTTTTTGTATATATATAGTATGCTAATAAGTGTCTCATGAACAGATTACAAATCCCACTGGTTTTATCTTCTATCGGCTGTTATATCTTGAGATGTGTACACATAAAATGGAGTGGTGGAATCTACTTACAGCCATGCTTGATAGCTCTCCTAAACTACAAGTCCTCAAGCTCATTGATGTAAGAACATTTTCATTAATCTATTGTTGATGGTCTCTCTCGTTGGGTTTAATTTTTGTTTTGTAATGTACCCTTTGTTGTAGCATTCGTCTCATCGGCCAAGTCTGATTTATGACAAGAAAAAGAGGGACGAGGGAGAATGGAATCGACCAGAGTATGTCCCTGAGTGTTTGTTGTCCCATCTCGAGACATTCGTGTGGACAAGACACGATTGGATAAGAGAAGAAGAGAAAGAAGTGGCTAGATACATTCTAAGCAACGCAAGACAGTTGAAGAAGGCAACTTTCTATATTGATCCCATTGAATCGAGAAAGCACTTCGAGTTAGCCAAAAGACGAAAGATGCTCGACGAATTGCCTGCTGTGGTTAGGGCTTCAGGTTCATGCGACCTCGTGATTGAATTAGAATGATCTTTATAATGTATCTGACTCTTTTTGTTAGAGCTTTTGCTATATTTTTTGGTTTTGTTGGTTTGTTGTGTGTTTGAGGGATTTATATCGCTTCTCATTCCCGTTTAGTCAGAGGTTTCGTCTTAAAGCTGTTTACATACTTTGGGAATGATTTTTAAAATGACAATACACAATTATTGATTTTGGGCTCATTTCATGATATTAATAACATTTGAAAACGACGGCGGACGAAGTCCCTTGCACATATTATTGATCACAATTCTATTGAATCCGGGTTTGATGATCGTCCAGGGACAAAAAAAAAAAAAAAAAAGCCGATCATCCGAATCGCCGGAGCTCACCGGGAAATCAAAAGCTACACACACTTCCGACAAAAACGGAATTCGAAACACACAGATACATAATTACATCTGAAAACCCCATAATTTATCAGGAGACGATTTCAGTTCTTGTAAATCGGAAAAGAGCTCCGGTTCTCTGTAACCGGGAAATTTGTCAGACCGGAACTGAATGAAACAGAAGCTGAGACAGAGGAGGAGGAGGAGCAAGTAAACGGTGAAATCTTCGAATTGAAATTAGAAGAAGAGAATATGGAGTCAGCAGTCCCGATTTCTCTTTCTTCCTCCTTGATCGTGTCGAGCACCTTCGCCGTTCTCCGCCGCATCACCGTGACAAATTGCGGTGGCGCAACCTCCGTTATGAATCTCGCAAATCGTGAGCTCGCCATGATCGATGTAGAAAGTTTAGGGATTTGAAAAGGAAAGAAGATTGGTTATGAGTGATGATGATGATGAGAGAGGAAGATGGACCGGGTTTGAGAGGGATTTTATAGTAAGGACAATGTCTTTTGTTCTAATGACTTTGTAAAATATCAAATTATTTTTATTGATTTTTTAACAATTTTTTTCTATGGTGGATAGTACTCGTTGGAGATTAGATAATTTTATATATTTAAAATTATTGCTATCGAATTTTTAAAAGGAGATAGACTTCCGAGTCCTTAACACGTGTGTTTCTCTGATGGTAACCACGTATTAAGGAGTAAACAAATGTATGTAAAAACGTTTATGTGCTTCTCGATTATTGGCTCTAATTGGTGAAATGTTTTTAAGAAAAACGTCATGATATTGCCAAGCGTAGTTGATTTGTATTCTTCTAGGAAAAAAAATAATATATATATATATATATATATATATCAACGCAGCTAAGCTACTAACACTGTATATATTTGAAAATTTCTAGAAGACCAAAAAAACAGTTTAGCCTTAAAGTCAAAGCAAATTGGTATCTGGAATTTCAGTTGCCTGCCAAACTTCACTATTATTTGTAGTATGCTTATTTTTGTATAAAAATGGTTTAACTTTAATTTCAGAAATCAGTATAAAAAAAAATATTCGCCATAAAAAAAAATATTGATGTGTGAACTACTTTTTCTTTTAAAAAAACCAAAAACTTGTTAGACATTTAGTTCCGCTATTTATAATTGTTTTAGCAAGTTTTGGAAGACAACAATTTCGCAACAGTTTACAATTTTACAAGATTTTGGAAAAACTTTTACACGTGTTTCTTTGTAAAAGAGGGAATATAATTTTTTTATTTACGAGGTATTATATATATAAAATAAAGTAATTTCGTTTTGCCCAACCGTTTTAAAAATTTCGTTAGATCCCAAGAGCACCAGTATTGATGAATTTGATTAATGAAGTTTTTAAAAAGTTTTTTTATTATTAAAAAAATTAATTTAAAAAAAAGTAAAAGTGATGAATCGCGTCTCGCCACATGGTGAAAGACGATTCTACATACTCTGAACAGAGAGTCAATTCTGTAGTAAAATCTTGCCATATCATTTATTAAATTTTTTTCTTTTAACTTTTTTTTTTAGAACTCTTATGGGGCTCATCATTAATCATGCCCTAACGCAGTGAGAATGTAAAACATATGTAGAGTGGTGTATTTTAAGAATCACAGTGTCATGATTCAAAGCAATTTGGTGTCCATATTTCACTTTCCTGCCAAGCTTTTGTATTAGTATGGTTATTTCTGTATCAACTTGGGACCACCTTACCCCATAAAGAAAGTTATTATGTCAATCTTGTGATGCATATTATTACCACATTTATCATAGAAAAAGCTGATATACGGATCCATGTGTTTCTTTCTTCTTATGTCAACACTATAGATCCACATCAGGAGGTTAAGTACACAATCGACTTAAATCTTGAAAGAGAGGTACAAATAGGGAAATGTAATAGGATATGGTGGGTCATATATACACCACGTGTAAGTTTGTGACACTCTAAAGATCTAAAAGGACCACGCCATATCTATCTGATATATGCCTGAGCTTGAGCTTAGTTATATTTTGGTTTTCAATGTTTCAGCCTAATTAGTATAAACGTATTTGGATATATACTATAAGTATTTTGTGGCCTTATCTCAATACGGCAGTGAGGGCCAAAAGCTGTCACTGTTACTGACGGACCTCTCTCACGGTTGCCGTCAGAGACACGGCATAATCTACCGCCAAAAAGAAAAGAGAGTTTTAAAGATTTTTGCAATCAATTTTTGCCCTAATCGAGACAAGGGTTTTGCTTTTTGCATAAACCCCCAAACTTCTTATTTTCTCTTTTCCACATTCGAAGGGTCCCTTGGCCCCAAAATATCGTTCTTAAAATGAAACCACATTAAAAGCGTAAAACGAGCAACCCTTGTACTCTAGCCATCGGTCTCTTTGTTCACATTTCACGCGGTTTCTTCGATAAGTAGACCGTAAGCATGACGAATACGTCAATCAATCAATCGCATGCAACATCCTAATTTTTTCTATACAGACTTCTGTATTTTTTTGGTATGTCTATGATCAAAACCCTAGAATAGGCTTATATAGCTAGATTACCACTTGACTTGAATTTAATTAGTTAGCAGCGTCTCTTGAAACACGATACTCCCAAAAGGTTACTGGTACGTCGACACTCGAATGATATCTATTTATCATTGTAGTTACACATAAACTCAACAAGTATAACAATGAACTTATAAAGAATAGACACTCAAAGCAAAAAATATCTGATTGAACATGTATGGGAGGATCCTGTTGAGACACAAGAAGAGGATCGGAACTCATTTGAAGCTGGAATTTGACGTGGATAACCGAAAAGAGCGGATAACTGAGTTTAAAGGATAGTTAACAAGTTTAATTAAGTATTAAAAACTTTTTTTTTTAAAGGCATCATCTATAAATTGCTCGTGGTAAGATCGACTGAAAGCTTCTCTGAATTAGATTGGTTTTGCTTTCAGGACAACATAGTGGAACCTCTAGTGTGGGTTAGACAAAAAAAAAAAAAAACTTTGGCTTGGATTAGTAATTTAGTACTAGAGTATATTAATATATTCATGGTCAGTCTTAGCCTCTTATTTCAGTGCATGAGCTTATGCTCATGAGAAAATAATAATTTATTCTAAGGTTACTAGCTTCGGCCTTCTGGTTTCGGTTTATCAGCGAGTACAAGCCAGGGAACAATGCTAGTCTTAATTAGACTTTATACATGCTAATAATATGTCAAGCCATATCTAAGTGACTATATTAATATGATATATTCTTGAGCTTATTTCTATTTTGGTTTTTAATTTTTCATCTCAATTAGTATATACCTATTTGTGACCTTATCTCAATACCGAAGAGAGGGCCAAAAGCCGTCACCGCTATTGACGGACATCTCACGTTTGCCGTCAGAGACACGGCACCATCCACGGCAAACGAAAAGAGACAGTTTTAAAGCCTTTTCCATCAATTTTTGCCCAATCGAGATAAAGATTTTCCAGAAACCACCAAAGTTCTTTTTTATTTTCTTTCCTATATTTGGAGGGTCCCTTGCCCACAAAATAAAAATTGCGAAAATGAAACAACATTAAAAGCGTAAAAAGAGCAAACTCTAGCCATCGGCCTCTTGTTTAATTGTACTTGGTCTCTTAGATAACTATGAACACTGAAGCATGACCCAAAAATATATCATTCAATCGTAACTTTTTTTTTCTATACCGAACATGCAGTTACATCTCTCTGATCAAAATCTCTAAATGGTAGATTACGATCGAAATTAAGACGACTAGAAGAAAACAACATGTCATAATCTTGTTTAATTAGTTCTCATATTTTTTCAATGTAAAATTTCGAATAGTTATGATATAGTTTATGACACATATATGCTATATAAAAAAATAAAACATACAAAAGATAAACAAGTCGGCAAGAATGTCATCTTATCTGAGTTATCTCAAAAATGAATATCAAACGATCGCAATTTGCTTTTTGGATTTGGGAAGAAGGAAGAAGCTAGCTGAGTCTTGAAAATTATTTGACGTATATGTCAAAAACATGCATTTAATTCATAAAGTTGTTACTGCTGTCTTTTTTCTTGTCCTTCGCGTTCGCGTTGGACATACAATTCTTTTTCCAATTATATCAGCAAAATAACAAGTTGCATTCCAAATTTAATTAATTTGAGTACATCATGTGATATGATTAGAACATCTACATCTACTATATGTCTATAATGTGGACGACGAGCATACAGGAACACATGATAATAGAGGATTTAATAGTTCTGAAGCCGTATTTGAATAAGTTTCTTTTGCGTATACTACTATCCTTTATACCCTACTGACCTAGATTTCATTATCAGTTAATATAGGCTTGTGACGCTTGTCGCAACAAATTTAGAAAATTCGTATTCACTTTAAAATAATTATGCGATAGAAAACACACAAAAAAGCAATAGATTTGGGGTGGAAAATTTATCTATAAAAAATTGATAATAGATTAGAAGCCAATTATATGGTTAAACTGAACTTTATAGAGTTGATGTCACTGCAAAATAGTTCCACTTTTCTCACGTAAAAAACAAATTTACAAGCATTTATAAAAATAACTTCATTTAAAACTACTTTTAGCGTATATATAAATATGCATAAAAAAAAATATAGAAATCCATCTTCCAATTATCAAAAGAATAATTGAGGACAATTTTGTCTATGCAACTCCTATATAAACAGATAGAAACTCATCTTCCAATTCAACATTACAACACCAAAAAAAGAAAACTTTCACTCCGAAGTCCTAACTGTTTAGCTCATCATCGCAAGGAACCTTTGGAAACAAAAAAAAATGGTTGATACCCAAAATACCCTATTCGTTTTCCGACCAGACCACCAGAACCTCACACCTCAGCCTTTGATGACTCCGTTCTCCGCCGTGACCCCGCACCGTGCCACAGCCTCACGATCGCGCCGCCTCATCTCTGCCACAACCCTCGAAATGATCCTCGAGGAAGAGACTGGACCGGAAGGAGATCGTCCTACCACCGCCACTGCGATGGCTTCTCTTGCGGTATTTCCGGCGACATCTTGTTTCTTGATGTCCAAGAAACAAGTCTCTTTTCTGTTATACGGAAGCTGCAAATGCCCTTGATGATTTTTCACCGCAAAGCGATTGAAGAATGGTGTTTTTTAAAAAACGTTTCCTTGTAATAGTTAAGTTTTTTTATTAACTGTAATAGTTAAGTTAGTGGTGTATTATGATGTCAGTTATGGGTTGATGCTTTGTTTTTATAAAAGTTAATTCAACTTTTCTTAGTTTTTACTTTCTACCGGATAAAAATCATGTTAAACACTTATTTGAAAAATATGCTCTTATTTGGTGGTTTCATAATCAATTTTTTTTTTGGTGCATTAAGACTTTACTCTGTTTGCAAAAAATTGTTTATTGGTTTTACCGGTTGAATGCTTCTGTCACAATTTAAAAATCAGTATAAAATTCAATATTTATTAAAAAAAATTCTTACAAAGCCCCACTCAAGCCAAAGCCCATATATGAATACAATTGAACCAGAGGATTAGAAGTGAAGTCCAATAAAATAAACGAGGCCCACTCGTTTGAAGAAGTCGGAGAATTGTATATATAGATTTGGGGGTTGTTTCGTATCTTTAATAGATTCGGTTTTAGCTTGTAAATGTATTATAGTTCAGGGTTTTCTTTGCATTTTCCCTTTTTATAAAAAAAATCAGTGATTCTTACAAAAAATTTACCGACCAATCTCTGTAGCCGCTCCAGAAAGGCGAACTGAACCCTCACTTCTAAAACCCTAATCCTCCCCAAAACCTTTCTCTCTTCATCACCATCTCTCTACCTCGAATCATCACCGCTTCAATGGCGTCTTTCGATCGTTTCGACGACATGAACGACTCGAGATTGAAGTCTAACATTCTCCGAAACCTTCTGTCCGAGTATGTTCCCAACGAGAAGCAGCCTCTGACCAACTTTCTATCACTCTCCAAGGTCGTATCGACCATCGCCACCCATAAGCTGTTATCTGAGTCTCCTTCGGCTTCAATTGACCAGAAGCTTCAGTCTAAGTCGAGATCAGCCGTTGATGATTGGGTTGAGAGGTTGCTGGCTCTGATTTCTTCGGATATGGTACATTATCCAATCACTGTTCTTTGGTAAATTGAAAGAGAAAAGTTATCGACTTTGGTGTTTAAGAAGGATGCTTGTGTTTTTGTGTATTGCTTTAGCCAGATAAATGCTGGGTGGGTGTGGTTTTGATGGGAGTAACTTGCCAAGAGTGCAGCTCAGACCGTTTCTTGAGTTTCTACTCTTTTTGGTTTGAGAGGTTATTGTCACATGTCAAGGTATGTCTCGTTTGCTCTATGGTGAGATTTGTTCCACCAATTGTTATTGATAGTTCGTGATTTGTATTTGTTTCCAACAGAATCCAGCAAGCTCTAGAATTGTTCGAGTGGCTTCGTGTACCGCAATCTCTGATCTCCTTACAAGGTCTGTACAAATCTGATTCTGCAGATTGGTTTAATTTTAGAGAAATATGGATGATATGTGCTCTGCAAAGTCTGCCTTCTTTTGCTTCAATTGTGTAAATGTTGGATATTCGTTTAGTCCTCAAGAAAATTACTTAGTTTTTATATACTGAGACTATTCATTTTGCAATGCATTGTACATGGTTATCCAACCCTTATATTAGTTGCTTTGTGCTGCACTATGCCCTTGGGGTTTTCTTTTCAAGATTTTTGTAACAAGGAAATCTAAAATACTTTATTCTGTTCCTATTACTGAATCAGGCTGTCTAGATTTTCGAATACGAAGAAAGATGCAGTTTCACACGCTGCGAAAGTTATCCTGCCAATCATTAAACTATTGGATGAAGATTCTTCAGAATCACTATGGGTAAGTGACACATTTAGGCCTTTGAGTATTTTTCGCTAAATTTAGTTATTGTGTCCACACTTCAGCCCTTTCTGTTGGAATAGTGTACCAAGCTGGAGTTGTAAAAGAAAGACTTAGCTTCATTACTATAATCCTGGTTTTGTGCCAAGACTGTTGTACACACTTCCACTACTTTGATTTACATGTTTAACATGTAGAATTATGCATCAGTTTCAATCCCATATAGCAGAATCATAAGTTCATAACCTAATATAATTCCTGATTGCTATGAGACTTAAGTGATGTATCATATATATATCGTTGCGACAAGAATTCTGCTCGTGTCATTGCTAGAATCCTCAATTTGAATTTTTGATTGTTATTGGATGTGCAGGAAAGCATTGTCCATCTGCTAAGTACAATCGTAATTTTGTTCCCTGCTGCTGTCCACAATAATTATGACAAGGTCAGCTCTCTGCTTCTCAAATCTATTTCTTATTTGTCCAAATTTCATGAATATATAAGTATCGGTATCTTGATAGCTAGCTACATGGCAACAGTTCACGCTCTAATGACATATGCCTAGGTGGTAACATAATCATTTGAGAAATGTCTATATTGTATTAACATAGTTATTCCTTTCAGATTGAAGCCGCTATTGCCTCCAAAATATTTTCTGAGAAAACAAGTTCTAATATGTTAAAGGTATTCATCTTTTTATATATATTCTCTATTCTGTATTGTCCATTAACTAAGCAAGGAAATATTAACGTGAAACTTCTTTCCTTCTATCTCAACCTGCAGAAATTTGCACACTTTCTAGCATTGCTCCCCAAAGCTAATAAAGGGGATGCGAGCAGCTGGTCCCTGATGATGCAAAAACTTTTGATATCTATAAACGTGCATCTAAATAATTTTTTCCAAGGTCTTGAAGAAGGTAATTTGTTGATTTCCTTTTTTCTTTTGTTTTGTGTGCGGCTGTAGTTTCCCTGATAGGCCATGGTGACATGTATTGCAGAAACAATAGGAAAAAAAGCATTACAACGATTGGCTCCTCCTGGAAAAGACTCTCCTTTGCCTTTGGGAGGCCAAAATGGGGGTTTGGATGATGCAGCGTGGAGCTCTGAACAGTTAATTGTATCCAGAGTTTCTGCACTTATGTTCTGCTGCTCAACGATGCTTACTAGCTCGTTCAAATCCAAGGTAGTGCCATCTCTTTTCCTTCTGCTATATATGACCCCTCTTGATTTTGAAGCTGGAAAGAGTGAGTTTTTTCTTGCAATTTGAGTATTTAGATTAAAGCATCAAGTTAAGCATGTCACTGCTTATGCTGTGTCCATTCCAAAAGTTGTATTGCTGCTCAGCAGAGTCCTCACAGCTCTCTTAATGCGTGCTACTGTATGATCCACACATGCCATTTGCTTTTCTGATATTCTTTCTTTCTTTCAACCGTCAGGTTAATATTCCGGTTGGCTCACTATTATCCCTTGTTGAGCGAGTGCTTGCTGTAAACGGCTCTCTACCACGATCCATGTCACCCTTCATGACAGGGATCCAACAAGAATTGGTTTGTGCTGAACTTCCGACTTTGCACTCGTCGGCTCTGGAACTCTTGAGCGCTACTATAAAGTGTATCCGCAGGTAAACCGGTCTCCTTTCATTCCCGCTAGCAGCAGAAGCTATTATTTCATTGCCAGTTGCCACTTCCTTTGGTAGTTTATGCCTTGGCTGAAAACAGTCTTCCTCGTATTGATTCATTTTGCAGCCAACTATTACCATATGCTGCATCTGTGGTGAGACTTGTTAGTAGTTACTTCAGGAAATGTTCATTTCCAGAACTGAGGATTAAGCTCTACTCGATTACTAAAACCTTGCTCAAATCCATGGGTGTAGGTAATCCACAAGATCTTGCTTCTTTTTTTTTTGTTTCTCATGTTGATGTGATGATAATCGAGATCACTTATGCTCAAACATACTTCCCTGACCAGGAATGGCAATGCAACTGGCACAGGAAGTTGTCAGTAATGCCTCTGTGGATCTAGACCTGACAACTTTAGAAAGATTCGATGCGGTATCTAGCAAAAACCCGTCGTTTACTAATGGAGGTGTTCTTAAGGCTTGCAGTAAAAAAAGGAAGCATTCAAACAGATCAGGAGTCGAGGCAGAGAATGCTGTTTTTGAAGTCGGAGTCCCTCACAATCACTCGAGTAGCCCTATTTCATTGAAGATAGCAGCTCTTGAGGCACTGGAAACTCTTCTCACCATCGTAAGCTCTTGCGACATTTGCACTCTTAAAGTTCGGCTTTTTTTTATCGACACTGTTGAAAGCTTAGTAGATCAGTTACTTGAATCCTTTTCTTTTGTGTTTCAGGGTGGTGCATTGGGATCAGATAGCTGGAGAGAACGTGTTGATAATCTTCTAATGACCACAGCAACAAATGCTTGTGTAGGGAAATGGGCCAATGCTGAGACCTACCATTGTTTACCTAATAAGTCAACGACGGATCTGGTTGAGTTTCAGCTTGCAGCACTCCGTGCGTTTTCGGCATCTCTCGTTTCTCCATCAAGAGTACGACCTGCATTTTTAGCTGAAGGGCTTGAGCTTTTCCGAACAGGTAACTAAGATTGTTGGGGCATGAATTAAAAACTAAAGCTTTAAAAGCCATGAGACTGTAAGTATTTTGATGCATAAATGTGGCTTTTGAACAGGTAAATGTCAGGCGGGAATGGAAGTTGCCGGGTTCTGTGCTCACGCTCTCATGTCCCTTGAAGTTGTTATACACCCTAGGGCACTTCCACTCGACGGTCTACCATCACTTAGCGACCTATTCCCGGAAAGCAATTCTCTGGCCAGGCAGAGACACAACACACCTAGTCTGAGTAAGTTGAACGGTGGTGATGTTTTAAGCAACAGGTGGCTGGCAAACGTGGATGTTCCTTCAAGCATCGAGATTCAGAGAACCGTAGAGACAAGTCTAACTATCCAAGAGACCAGAAGTTTGAAAGTTGGGAACGATTTAGCTACCGTTGTATCTCTGGCTGACCAAGATCTTACAGATATCGTTCGACAAGCTGATGTGACTGAATCAGCTAAGGAGTCTCTAGGACATGTTTCAGAGAAAGATGATATGGCTCGAGAAGTAGTGAGTGAGACTCGAGATGGAGAGGAATTGGCGATTAAGGATAGTGTCATGGAGGAAGCAGGAATTGGTAAGAAGATAGAGTCCTTAGATGAATCTGATGATGATTCTATTCCAAGTCTAAAGCCAGATGATTATATTCTCTCTTCCGATTCTGATATAGAATCTTAATGCAAGACAAAAGGAGTTCACATATCTGTCTTTTAAGAGAATCTTTTTTTTTTTTTTTTTGTATCCGAAGTTCAAGTTTTGATCATGTTTTCTTTTCTTTCTTTGAAGATGTTTCATTGAATAGTTTCCCTACTTTTAAAAGGTTGTGTTTTTATTTTGCCCTACATGTTTGATTCGGTGTAAATTGAATCACAGAAGACATTCCTCTCTCAACCTGTAACCGAACCTATCTCTAAGTTCTTGATCTTTCCTATAACAACTTGATTCCCCCATGTCTGAGTTCTATAGCGGAGCTCTTGACGTTGGTTACAATTGATTAACCGGGAAGCTTTCGAGATCTCTCCTGAATTGCTTTCACCTAAGGCTTCTGATCACAACAGAACCAATGACTCCGTTTCCCTTCTGGCTCAAGACATTGCCTCATTTTACTCTCCGTTCAAACAGGTTAAATATAGGTGAAATATAGGTGAAAGTGAGATATATGTGATAGCGGTTAAAGTGATCAAAACATATTGTGTTGGCCTTTTAAGTCTCTAACAGAAAAATATTGTGTTGGTTATAAGAATTGGATGCAATGCTGTATATACTTTTACCAATATAAACTATGCTAGAAGTGGAGTTGTGGTTCAAAACATAGGTAAAAGTAAAAAGCATTGCATCCAATAATTATACTTATACTTTTAATTGGGGATGTATAAACATTTGTAAAAGTTAATGTTTGGCTCATGGTTTAATTTTCTTTTGAAAGATTGAATAGTACCCTTCGACGAATATAACTTTACAGTACAAATAGTCGAATACATGTCAAATTACAACAAGAATTTAATGAATTTACTAACTTTATAGTTTCAATCTTCGAAACAATAGTGTAGATATTCACTTTGAGGGAGTAAACAGTAAGGTTTTACGATCCAAGTGTTGGAAGTACAAATTAACAATTATACGAGTATCGTTTGATTAAATATAGTTTAATTTGAAAATTCGAATCATGTTTGAGATAGAAAATTTAAGCAAATGCAAAATTGTCATTCTTCATAAAATATCAAATTTCATAAGAGAGGCAAAGCCCGAGTTATAGAAATATGGAAACACAATAAAACATGGAAAACTTTATAAAGAAGAACCAGACTGCATAAACACAGGAGACCTTCCTTGAAGCTTTCACCAAACTCCTGCAATAAGATTCAATCAAACATTACACCCAGTTAGTATCATACAGCATTATCTTTTATATAATAAAAATTCAAAAGATTCAAGAAACTTACAAATCTTGTTGAAGGCAACAATGTCACAGCTCTGAACGTACTCATTGATAGGCTCAACAGTGAGCTGCTCTTCGATCATGGTGTCAATAGACACAAGGTCATCAACAATGGTGCACATGATCTGCAACTTCTTGATACCGTACCCAACGGGTACAAGCTTTGATGCTCCCCAGAATAATCCTTCCTGCTGGATGGATCTCACACATTCCTCTAGCTTCTTCATGTCGGTCTCATCATCCCACGGCTTGATATCAATCAAGACTGATGACTTTCCAGCTATAACAAACAAGAACAAAACCCAAAATCAGAAATCAAACACAGCTTCACATATGTCGCAAACTATACAAGTGTAGCAACACAACCCCAACAATACTTACATTCCTTCTTCTTTGTCGATGCCTTCACGGAAGCTGCTCTCTCTTCAGCAGCTTTCTTCTCCTCTTCGGTCTCTTCTCCGAAAAGGTCAACATCATCATCATCTTCTTCATCAGCAGCATCCTACACAATTACACATACCTACATTACTTACTGATTTTACAATCACAAAAGTCATGAAAAGATAGAGAATTCAAAACAAATCTTGAGTACCTTAGAATCAGCTGCAGGGGGAGTAGCAACAGCCTCTTCTGTGATTGGAGCTGATCCCTCAACAATGACACCACTTCCTTCAGCAGACACACCGCTGCAAAATTAAGGGAAACAACATTCGTTTAATCCAAAAAACCAAAAACCTTAAATCAATAAATAAGTAATAAGAAGACAACGATGGAGAGCAAGCTTACGAGATCCTCAAGAGGGCATCGATGTGATTATACCAACGAGATGCGTTCACATACTGTGATGCTGGGGCCTTTGAAAGAGCAGCAAAAACGGTGAGATCATCCTTTGAAGCCTGGTACCTGTAAAACATACAATCAAATCTAGTTGTTACTCCTACTGATCGCAAAAAGGTAGAGACATTTCGATCTAAATCTACACTAGAGGTGTTCACACATCTTACCCAGTGATGTAACTGCGAGTGAGAAGATGCTCGTCGAGCTTCTTCAATCCACCATCAGAGTTAAGGTTGGGGAAAGCCGCCATTATTTCTGAAGCTTGAACCTTTTCACTGATACATAAAGCAGATCAGAACAGATCAGCTACTCGCAACGATTCAGCAAAAAAAAAAACGAAACTTTTATTGCTAAAAAGAGCACCAATCATAGAATTATAGAGACAACACTTAAGAGAAGGAAGAAGACAAGACAAAGAAACTAAATCTAGGATTCCTACAACAAGGTTATGTTTGATCGATGCATAAAAAGTTTAGATTTCCAATCAGATACTATTACAACGATGTATACTTTGAGATCGAAACAAACCTAATGGGAATCGAACGAATAGCTTATCTAACGAGGAAATTGAAGAGGAAGAAGATGAACAAACCTGAGCTACAAGGTGCAGACTGGAGCTAAGGAGGCGAGTAGGAATGAAGGAGAGTTTAGGGAATGTATGTATATAATCCCTAGGTTTTGCTGTTAGTGGGCCTTTTTGGGCCCAATTTGCTGCAGACTTGAATGTTTTCATTATAACGAGCTTTGGTCAAAATGTCATAACAACTTCCAATCGGAGATATTTTGAAAATGTCATTCTATAAATGTCATAATAATTCGTAATAGGTCACTAGAATTTGTTAATTTTGTGATACACAAACTTTTTACATGTCCAAGTGAAGAAGAGTAAGCTTGAGAAATTACAAAATATCATAAAACAGAGAAAACATTAACAAAAAGAAAGAAGATATTTGCAAGTAACAAGATGAATGTGTATCAGCGTAAGTTATTCATAATGTGCAATTAATCTATCAATAAATAATTCTAAAAGTTTTCAAAGAATCTTTCTTTAAGTTAAAAAGTTTTCCCATGTATTCTTTTCTTTTGAAAGATGTTCATTATATAATGTTTGAAATTGTCAAAATTTTAATTTGCCACAGTACAATTACATGTCATATTTGCAACAATAAGATTTTAATAAATTTACTTCGGACCAATATTGTAGATATTGAGTCATTGACTTTGAGGAAGTAAATAAATAGGGTTTACGTGGGTATATAAAATCAAAGTGTTGGAAATAGAATTTAACATAATCTCAAACTTATATATGAGTATTGTTTAATTATACCTAGTTTAGAAAATTCGACTCATGTTCGAGATTTGTTGGAAACTTTAAGCAAATACTGAATAGTCGTTATTAATTAAAAAGGTTCAAAATTAATCATAGATGGCAAAAGCAATAGCAGAATCAAAACAACAGTCTGAAACTCAAAATATGAGAAGAAAAACCAGACTGCATAAACATAGAGACCTTCCTTGAAGCTTTCACCAAACTCCTGCATTATGATTCAAGCAAACATTATACACAGTTAGTAACATACAGCATTATCTTTTAGAAAAGAAAAAAAGTTACAAGATTCAAGAAACTTACAAATCTTGTTGAAAGCAACAATGTCACAGCTCTGGACGTATTCATTGATAGGCTCAACAGTGAGCTGCTCTTCGATCATGGTGTCAATGGAAACAAGGTCATCAACAATGGTGCACATGATCTGCAACTTCTTGATACCATAACCAACGGGTACAAGCTTTGATGCTCCCCAGAACAATCCTTCCATCTGAATTGATCTCACAGCTTCCTCTAGCTTCTTCATGTCGGTCTCATCATCCCATGGCTTGATATCAATCAAAACTGATGACTTTCCAGCTAACAAAAGAAGAAACCAAAGAAAACAAGATCAGAATTCCAAGACAACTTCATATACCGTAAGCTACAAGTATAGAACAAAACCCTAAACTTACATTCTTTCTTCTTTGTAGATGCCTTCACGGAAGCTGCTCTCTCTTCAGCAGCTTTCTTCTCCTCTTCGGTCACTTCCGCGAAAAGTTCAACATCATCATCTTCTTCTTTATCAGCAGCATCCTACACAAACACACACATAACTATCAATCTCAATCTCACTGATGTACAAACTATATAAAGACATTATACGAAACCATCTTGATGAGTACCTTAGAATCAGCTGCAACGGGAGTAGAAACGGCCTCTTCTGTGATTGGGGCTGATCCCTCAACAGTGACACCACTTCCTTCAGCAGAGAGACCGCTGCGAGATAGAGACATAAGTTCAAGGAAATAACATTAGAAGGCTCCAAGCAACAACAAAAACCTTGTGAAACAATACAAGAGAATGGTGATGGAGTTTACGTGATCCTCAAGAGTGCAACAATGTGGTTGTACCAACGAGATGCGTTCACATACTGTGAAGTTGGGGGCTTTGCAAGAGTCACAAAGACAATGATATCATCCTTTGAAGCCTGGTGTCTGTATAACATACAAAGAGGTTAGAGATTTAGGATCTAAAATATATATTTGGAGATGTTCACAACTTAATTGACGCCACACTTGAAAAAATAAAAACCTACCCACTGATGTAACTGCGAGTGAGAAGATGCTCGTCGAGCTTCTTCAATCCAGCATCAGAGTTAAGGTTGGGGAAAGCAGCCATTGTTTCTCAAGCTCGAGCCTTTACACTGATACATAAAGCAGATCAGAACAGAACGATTCAGCTAAAACGAAACCTTATATTGCTAAAAAACACTAATAAGCATGGATTGATTCACTAAGATATCGCTTAAGAAAAGAAAGAAAACCACATAAGGGTTCCTTGTTCAACAAGAACAATTAATCAAACGAGGGAAATTGAAAGAAGAACAAACCTGATGAGTTGCCTGCTTTAAGAGGTATAGCTAGAGAAGTTTAGAATCAATCAAGTTAAAAGAATGTTCTGATATTTCTCTTCACCTCGAGGTCAACGTATTTATGCAAGTTCTAATTCAAGTAAAAGGAAAATTTTTGTACAACAGCACAATTACAAATAGGAAAATATCTATTAAGGTTGGGGAAAACGCCATTATTTTTAATCTAGAACCTTTTTTCATAATGTAAAGATAATTGTAAAGGTTTTCTCTTTGGCTTATCGAGATAATTTTCCATTGTTCTTTTAACCAAAAAAAAACCTTTATTAAATTATAAAGTAAATAAAAGAAAGCTTAAGCTTGTAAAAGTACACCCAACGAAGGTCTAAATTCGTGAGCTACATAGTCTATATAATATCGGGATAATTAATATGGCGTCCTTGTCAAATTACGTATGTATGCGAGACTCATATCGTATTCTGCTATTAATTTTTTCATATTGATAGACGAGTTTGTGATCATGTTCACACCTTTTAAACCAGCCCGTCACATCACTAATTTGATTTGGAAGAAAATATTCATGATAAAAAATTATTTCATATGAAAAAACTATATTAAGTTCAAATATAACATAAATAACTACTAAATAAAATATACTCCAATTTGGTTTCATGATCGTTTTTCTTCGGGAATCTTACAAAAATGACCCATAAATTCAAGTCAATTGCTAAACTAACCTCTCATTTTACCATTTTTGAAATTAATTACTTTATCTCACTTATATCCTTATCAGTTTTATTTATTCACAAAAATGCCATTAGATTATTGTTTTTATTATTATTTCGGAAATCTATTTTACCAAACAATCATCATCTTCCTCACTTATTCACGAAAATGTCATCACCATCAATTCATTCAACCACCATTTTCAACCAATTTGAAGCTTTTATTGCTTCAAAGACCCATTTTTTTTAGCTTTGTAACCTCATTTCCTCTTCTCTTAACCTTCTACTCTTCCATTTTTTCACCATTTTCAGCACAAAAACTCTCTAATCTAGATTTTTGAAACTTGATGTTTTAATATATTGCCATATTTGGTGATTTGGTCTGGCAAATCGTTTGGGCTTGTTTGGTGGTGGCTGGAATCAAAAAAATTGGTGGTTGAATAAGTTAAATACCACTGGTAGGTGATTTTTCAGTCAATTTTCGTGAGTTTTCAGATCGGTAGTAGACTTCAAAAGAAGTCTGTTGGTCAACACACATGTTAGTTTTGCAATTGACCGAGTGTACCAATTTTTGACAGCAAACTTCAGTTGAAGTATGCGCCATTTCCTTTGACAACAAAAAAATAGTGTAAACTTCAAAAGAAGTCTACGTAAAAAGGGGTTAGTTTTGCAATTGACCAACCTTTGACTTTTTCGTAAGAAGTCTATTCGCAAAAGTAGACTTCTTCGGAGAAGTCTACTTTGAACTTAGACTTCTTAGAGGTTAGTTTTGCAATTGACCAATGTTGACTTTTTGGAGTAGACTTCGCTTGAAGTCTACTTTTCCGAGTAGACTTCGTTTGAAGTCTACTCGAAAAAATTCAATATTTGGTCAACCCCAAAACTAACCCAAGTAGACTTCGTTTAGTAGACTTCAAACGAAGTCTACTTTGAAAAGTCAACATTGATCAATTGCAAAACTAACCTCTAAGAAGTCTACTTTAAAAGTAGACTTCTCCGAAGAAGTCTACTTTTGCAAGTAGACTTCTTACGAAAAAGTCAAAGTTTGGTCAATTGCAAAACTAACATTTTTTTACGTAAACTTTTCGAATAGACTTCTTGGAGTGAGTAGACTTCTTTGAAGAAGTCTACTCATCTTTTGGCAATTGCAAAAGTAACCTAAAATCTAGACTTCATACGAAGCTACATTTGTAGACTTCATTGCAAGTCTACTTTTGTAAACTTCGTTGCAAGTCTACTTTTGTAAACTTTGTTGCTAGTCTACTATTTCATTTTTTTTTATAAACACGCTTTTATCAAATTTACAACGAATTATTAAGATTTTTTTGGTCTTACGATTGTTTTAGTAAGTGCACTTACATTTGTATCAGTTTTACATGTTTATATTATATATATATATGGTGAAATCAAGTTTCTTGTTTTATTTGGTATTTAGCTTATTAGTCCGTAGACTTCGTTTGCAGTCTACGATATTAATTTTTATTAAATTAATTGATCAGATATTTGTAACAAATAAAATTTATTCTTTGACTTTTAAGTGTGTATTATTTATTGTTCTTACTTATGTAGGAGTTTGACATGTTTATTTGTTATAGTTTAGTTTTAATTAATTTTCTTGTTCTAATTGGTATTTAGCTTATTAGTCTGTAGACTTCACTTGAAGTCTACATAGTAGACTTCACTTGAAGTCTACATAGTAGACTTCGTTTGCAGTCTGCGACATTAATTTTTTATAAATTTAATTGATCAGATATTTATAACAAATAAAATTTATTATTTGACTCTTAAGTGTGTGATATTTATTGTTCTTGCTTATGTATGAGTTTAAAATTATTTTTTGTTACAGTTTAGCTTTAACTAATTTTCTTCTTTTATTTGATATTTAGCTTAATAGTCTGCAGACTTCATTTGAAGTCTACATAGTAGACTACGTTTGCAGTCTACTTTTTTTTACAATGATTTCTAATGTGATTTGAATTTTGTTTTCTTATAGAGAATGGTTCACATACCCACTGTTTATTGAGAATGTGTGAAGAAAGACTAGTTGTGGTATTTCTAAGTAGTTTTACATGTTTTTTTTTGTTATGAGTTTTACATGTTTTTGTATAGTTAAATTGAATTAATTTCTTGTGTTATTAGAGGTTCAAAGATGGTGATGACTAAGTCTAAGAAAGAAGTCTGCATATGAAATCTGAATATGATAAAACATACATAATTTAAGAATATATAAAAATAACATTAATTGCAATCCAACTTTACATATAAAGTAGACCTTCTAATCAAACAAACATTTAAGGATCACTAATTATAAATATTAAAATTAGCATATAAAAACAAAATATCTGAAATAGATGTATGTGACTGAAGTCTGCTCGAGAAGTCTACTCGAGAAATCTGCAGCTGAAGTCTGCTTCCAACAAAAACAAAAGAGAAATAAATAAGCTCAGGTCTGCACAATAAGAAAAAAAATGTTAAAATTCATATTTCAACAAAATATGCTATATTTACAAACATCATATCTGCAGCGAAAGGGAAAAAAAAGAAATCAGCTATGCAACAAAAAAGATTATAGATCTGCAACAAAATAAACAAAATTCAGATCTGCAACAAAATAAACAAAATCTGATCTGCAACAACTAAAAATTCAGATCTACAAAAAAAAATATATATATCAGATCTGCAACAACAAAAAAATCAGATCTGCAACAAATTCTACAAAATTTATACCATAAGAAGCGCATATTTACAAGAATAAACTCAGATCTACAACAAGAAGCTCAAATATGTAATAATAAACCCAAATTTACAATATGAACACAAAACAAACAACAAAAGAAACACAAAACCTCAGATTTGCTTACCATCACCATAACTGAGATAGAGAGGATGGAGGATAGAGATGGGTTTGATGGCAAGAGAGGAAGGAGAAGAGATTCATGGTCAGAGAGGAGGTAGAGGAGAGAGAGGCGTTTTTTAGAGGGAGAGAAAAACTTTATTTTTAACCCAATTAGGTTAATCTCCTTATATATGTAGGAAAATTTTCGGTTAAGTAGACTTCTAAGAAGTCTACTGGAGAAGTCTACTCGAAAAGTCTACTTCGGTATAATTTTTCGATTTCGATTCCCGCCCAATTTGTTAAATAATTTTGATTTTCTGCTGTGTTTTTTTAAGTCTACTGGAGAAATCTACCCGAGAAGTCTACTGCATACATATGTTTTATGTAGTAGACTTCTTTAGTAGACTTCTAAGGGGTTGTATGTTTTCTAGTTAATTTTCTTTATACATTTAAGTTGATTCATTTGTATGAAATTTTGTATTCTATACATGTTAAATATATATGTCTTACTTATGTTTACCAATTTTTTAGAAATTTATTTATTTTATATTTTCTAATTAACTTTTAAAAAACTAATTACGTAGTAAACTTCTTTTGAAGTCTACAACGATTGTAGACTTCTTACATAGACTTCTCGAATGATAAAATCATAACTGTGGCAGATATTTTTTGTTTAGTCACAAATGACTGAACTGTAATTTCACTATCCCTTTGGGTTAGTTTTGCCAAACATTCAATAAAAGATTTACATATTGAGAAAAAATCAACTTTTACATTATAAAGAGTAATTCCCCTTTTTTCTTCTTCTTATTTTTGTCTAATCAGAATGAGAATGATCTTTGACTGAAGGTTGGTTACTCTTGTTACGATCTGGACCTTTTGGTAACCCTACTAGTAAGTTGATGTGGGAAAGTGGAGTTCAGTTAACATCATAAAACTGTATTTATGGTATTTTAAAGTAAAAAAAAAAAAATCAGATTTGGCATAAGAAAAATAAATAAATATAACATATGTTAACTACATACCATAGAAATAAAATGAATTATCCAAAAAAAAGTAAAAGGGATGAAGAAAAATGTGACAAGTCAGTCACTGGAATTATCTAGTAAGAGTCGCTCGTGTACCATATCAATTCTTCATTGATTAATAACCACCACTTATCATTTTCTCATTCTCTCAAGAAAAATACAAAAAACAGAACACAACAGAGAAACTCACACTCTTTATATTTGTTGCTCCATCTCATTCAACTAACACTTTAGCTTAAAACTAATAAAACCAACAAAAAAGAAAATTAATGGAAGGCGCAATACATGGTGGGGGAGCAGATGAATCAGCTTTCAGGGAATGTTTCTCTCTAACATGGAAGAATCCTTATGTTCTTCGTCTTGCTTTCTCCGCCGGAATCGGTGGTCTTCTCTTTGGTTATGACACCGGTAAGTTTCTAAAGTTCTTCTCTAACTCATGCATACATATATATATATATATGTGTTTAAAGTTTGATAGATTATTTCATATGTATAATATAATGCACGCAGGAGTGATATCAGGAGCTCTGCTTTACATCAGAGATGATTTCAAGTCCGTTGACCGAGAAA